CCTACACCCGAAGAAAACCAAGAAAGGATATTTAAATTAGAGACAGATGTAGAAAGAATTGATAAAGATGTTGAACAATTAAAACATAAGAATTTGAATATTATGGATTAATATCAAAAAATTAATATCTATATAATATTGACAGAGTACAGAAGTCCCAGACATTGATTGAAACAGGAAGAGAAACCCCCGATTGTGCCCATTGCTCCGAAAATCGTGTGAGACACAGCACCGTGAATGAACGCACGAAAGGGGAGAGTAGTGCGCTACATTCACATAATTAATACTACATAAGATAGTATTGTGAATTAGTTTGAAAGTTTTCATAATAATTTTATTATGAAAAATTTTATTCTAAAAATTTTAATATAAAATTTCCTATTTTAAGGTATATGATACAGGAGATGGATTTTGAAGAGGAACATAAACCATCAAAGTTTCAAAAAATCTTGGAAAGGTTGAATACCATTGATGAAAGGTTAAAAGTGATTGAAGAAAGACAAAAACCTATGGTGAGAACACCTATTAATAAAGATGCTTCATATGACAACAGGAAAGGAACATATTTAAATAAATTGAATAACGCTGAGATACTTTATCCGAAGCAAACCACTTTGGAATATTATGGCATTAAAAAGGTGGGAGACCGGTATGAATAAGTCCTGAAAAACCCGTTTGGACAAAAGGTCTTAAAGACAAAACGCCTTAGTATAATAGATATAAAATGTTCAGTCAGGAAGAACAGGAGGAAATCATTAACAAATTCTTGGGAGTTATTGAAATGAAAGAGGTTATTAATAATAAGGTGAGTATGTGTTCAAAGTGCAAGTTTAACCAGCAAAAATATGAACCTATACAAGTTAGATTTACCTGATAATGTTATTAAAAATATTTGCAAATACAACTATGAAGAATGTCAAGTGTGCAAAACATTAAAGGAACTAAAAGAAAATGTTTATGATTGTAGCATCACAAAGTTTGAAAATGCAGTTGATGCTATTGAAGATGAAGATAAATACAATATCCAAAACTACACATCAGAAGAAATCAACACCAAAGTATATTATTATGTCAATTTAAATACCTTTCCCACATACAACAAAGTAATAAAACAGATATTGAAAGAAGATACAGCATTTTATACCAAAGACATACACAAAGAAATCAAATGCTGTTATACCAAATTGTTTGGCGGTTATGACCAAGTGTCAGAATTTTACACAAATTACCGCAACAAAATAGTTGAAGAATACCACAAAAAATTTGATAGAGCAACGGACACAAGGACAATATTCACGAATTATCTTGATGAGCATATGAGAAAAGTAACAGATGCCATAAAGCAAATTACAAAATACATTGCAAGCAACGAAGAACACAACAAAGTTGAACATCAACTGTATTCAGCAGAAACCTCATCTTGGATACAACGAAGAATGACAGACATTGTATTCAATGATGCATACTCGTGGGAAAGATATATGGATGCGAGGTTTCCGTATTTATCAAAAGAGGACTACACAAAAAGAATGAAAAAAACACAACCCCACAAAGAAGAACCGTTCCGCAAAACACGATGAAGATTATCTTAATAGTATAAGCATAAACGACTTCTAACATAATATATTAACAATAATATATTCTTAATATATTATTAAAAAAGGGTGCCATGCGTAGGTTCATAATTCGTGAATCGGGGAGTTCTTTGGTAGTTTTGGTATAGGGGTATTCGTTTAAGGTGGCGAGGTGGTACATAGATGATTTGTGGTAAAGTGGTTATTGGTGGAGGTGAGGGAGTGGTAAACTGGGATTTATGTGGTAAAGTGGTTATTGGTGGAGGTAGGGAAGTGGTAAACTGGGATTTATGTGGTAAAGTGGTGAATGTGGGAGGGGACGAAGTGGTAAACTGAAATGTGTGAATTTGGGCAAATCAGAACAACGAACCTGCGCATGACCATTGCTTGCTCTGTTACCCTCGATTTTCTTTCATGGGGCAGGAGGGGTCCTGCATACAGCCAGGATAGAGCCCTCACCCCGCACCCGACGGCACAACCACTGTGAACAAAAAACTTTTTTCCCTTCAAAAAGCCAGAACTACAGAACATTACATAACATATGAACAGGGTTTATGTCATACTACAAATCTATACTTCAGACTCCCTATAGAGTACGCCCCAGAGAGAATGCAAGACTCCTTGATTAAGGAACATTTCTTAAACCATATAGGGACCCCTATAGTAATTTAAGGGAAGACTCCTTAACAACAAGGTGTACCTTGGGGACTGAATGAACCTTAATCCCTTCCCCCTAATATTAAACGGGGGGTCCCCCCCCCCTTTAAAAATTCGAAAAGTATTTTTATTATTAGGGGGTATTTTTATCGAAATGTCGCCAAATTAGACTTCAGGGTTACTCAAGTAAGTCATCTTCATTGTGCTGTAATTAAGGTTTAGGGTTTAGGGCTTAGGGCTTAGGGCATAGGGTTTAGGGCTTAGGGCATAGGGTTTAGGGCTTAGGGTTAAGTAGGGTTTAGAGTAGCAAGACAGCCAGGCAGGAAAGATCTGGCATATAGTATGACTAGTCAGGTAGGCTGAGGAGAGCCAGGCTCACAGGCAGCCAGACAGGCAGCCCGCAGACAGCTTCGTGCTGCGAAAAGCCTTGACTCCGAAGCCTAAACCCTTAATGAACCCTAAGCCCTAAACCCTAAACCCTAAACCCTAATTAGACCCTAAACCCTCCTTGGCTTCAGGGTTTCAGGAGCCCTGAACCCCCCCCCTAATTCGGAATAGGTTTTAAAAGGCGGGCTCGGTTTCGGGAGGTTTTTCCGGAAAGTATTTTTATTATTAGGGGGGTATTTAATAAAAGGGGGAAGGGATTAAGAGGGCTTATGGTTCACATTACCTTCATAGGAATTATAGTAGTCAGGGTATATGACCCCGATTTTTTCGGGTTCCCTTCGTCCCCAAGGTATTGGAGTCCCAAGGACTGCAAGAAAAAGGTGCAGCAGGCCTGCAGCGCTGCCAGTCTGACAGGACGCAGTCGAAGATCTCCATTGCGCCGACGTCGGACACGCGGGGGGGAGGGGGGGGGGGAGGATTCCTGCAACCCTAAACCCTAAACCCTAAACCCTAAGGCTTTTGGCTCTTGGCTGAGATGCTCTCTCTTCTGTGCTCCCGTAAGAAGGTGGCAGTCTGGGACGTGCCGTTTGCAAGATCTTGGCCTGTAAGCTTTGCAGTGCAGTTTCTGAGTGGTGGAGTACCGGCTTGCGTGCCAACATGAACGTCCATATAAAGTCTGATCCCATGTGCCTCATGTGAAACAGCTCCAGAAATCAGGCCCCAATCACCGCGCAGCTCGTGGTGTACGCGCACTGAGCATGTCTTTGGGGTATTTCTGGGCCTTTGGTAGGAGCTTCAGCTTTCGTTTGAGGATGGTGGCCATAGGCATAGGGTGCTTCTAGGGATTCTTTACAGCTGTAACGTTGTCCCGTTGCACTGCTCTCGTGGAGTTCTACGTCTTTGACATCACCTTTCGCTGTTGTAGTGGGTCAACCGGGTAGCCCCTCTGCCGCATGGGAAGGAGCAGTCAGAACTGCCAATTGCAAACCCCCACCCTGAGCAAAATGGAGCACAATCAGAAGCCAAAGACATTCAAGACACTCACCAGACCCAGGAGTAACCTAGCAAAAAGCAGGGTGCCCTTTGCGGTTTTCAGGGCGATTATGTGGGAACCCCGATCCTAAAAAACGGAACTAAGGGTCCACTCCAGGTCCGAGCACATCATTCGGAGACACTTTTCCGGCCTCGCTCCGATACGGCTGGTGACGTGTTGCCCAGAGACTCCAATATCCCTTAATTAAGGAATATACCTTAATTTATAGTAGGATCCCTAGTATGATTTAAGGTATATTCCTTCATTAAGGGATATTGGAGTCTTTGGGTGCTCCTTTCAAGAGAACTGGAACCCTCGTCGCAGTCTCAGCCGAAGGTTCGAACTTCGAACGACGCACCACGTTAGGGGGAATCCACTCCCTGGGGGACCAAATGAGCCCCAAAATTGGGTGCTATACCCTGACTACTACAGTTCCTATTCAGGTATATGATCCCTAAACCCTAAACCCTAAACCCTAAACCCTTTCAGGGCTCATGTCGTCCCCAAGGCACTCGGGGCTCAGCGGACCAACTGTCCTGTACAAGCTTGATCCGAGCCATCCGAGGGGTTTTAGGGTTTAGGGTTTAGGTTTAGAGGTTAGGGTTTAGGGTTTAGGGCTTAGGGTTTAGGGTTTAGGGCTTAGGGTTTAGGGTTTAGTAGCACAGGAAATGCGAGGTCCGCTGCCATTCCGCCCTCTCAGACCGTCGCACCAACCTTCGGCTGCATGGCTTACCAAGAGTGTCCCTAAACCCTAAACCCTAAACCCTAAACCCTAAACCCTAAACCCTAAACCCTAAACCCTAAACCCTATAAACCCCAAAGCCCAAACAACGCTCTGCAGCGGCAGGCCTCGGCCTCCCTGCCTTCGGCGGTGTCTGGCTCCTGCGCAAGCTGAGCAGCAGACACTCGCTGAGCTGACGATGGATTGCTTTTTTGTTGGGGTTAGGGTTTAGGGTTTAGGGTTTAGGGTTTAGGGTTTAGGGTTTAGGGTTTAGGGTTTAGTAAAGGGTTTAGGGTTTAGGGTTCAGGGTTTAGGGTGCTGCGCTCTCTTCCCTTGGGGACGAAATGAACCCTAAAAAGGGTTTATGGCTCATGTTACCTTCATAGGAATTATCGTAGTGTAGGGTATATGACCCCCAATTTGAATTGGGGTTCATGTCGTCCCCGAGGTCAGGGACCCCCCAAACTTCTCGGCGGTCGGCCTCTCAGCCATTCCTTCGAACTCTTTTCGTCTTCGGTGTGCAAACGTAGGGAGGGGTCTGATGTGAGAAAGGTTGGCTGAACCATGTTAAACCCTTCTCAGTCATGCGACTCTGAGGCCATGTTTTTGTAAACAAACTCTGAGATCTTCAGAAGACGCTGGCGATGCCCAGGGCAGAATGAGTCTGCTCCCAAGCGAGGTTCTTGTTCGCTGCGCTGGTGGTTCGGGCCTCTTTCCCCGCCACCAGAGGGACACCTTGGGCAGTAAATGAACCCTAAAAGGGTTTGTGGTTCATATACCTTCATAGGAATTCATAGGGTCCATAATCTATACTCGCCTTAGAATCTTAACAACAATACTATTTCTAATATCCTCTTGGGTTTTATATAACAAAACAGCAAAAAATGATTCCAAAGGGGGATATAGTAAATTCGTCCCCAAGGCACCGGCACCAATGCTCTTGATCGGCCGTCCCACAAACCCGCGATCGGGCATGTAGAAGTCGCCAGAGTTGGCTTCCTGAAAGGACTACATGAACCCTGACAGGGTTTAGGGTCCACATACCTTGACTGGAGTTAACCCCCTAAACCCTAAACCCTAAACCCTAAACCCTACACCCTTATGATGCCCATGTTGGGCTTCATTTGGTCCCCAAGGTTCCGGGCTGAAGCAGGCCATCGCCAGAGGCGTGCTTCCGTCGGCTGCGCTCTGGGCGTTGCCGCGCATCATGACGTTCCCCATGCAGTTCGACATGTTTCCTCCAGGGAAGGTTTAGGGTTTAGGGTTTAGGGTTTAGGGTTTAGGGTTTAGGGTTTAGCGGGTTCAGGTTTTGGGTTTAAATGCCACTCCCTGGCATGGCTCCAGATGTGGCCAGCTCCCTACATTAGGTTGTTGGGTACCCTTAAAAATTAAGACACTAAAGACCCCAAAGGGGACCATAATTTAGAGCTACCCTAAACCCTAAACCCTAAACCCTAAACCTTAGGGTCTGAATCTCCAAGGCCTTTGGCTTGACATGGCTTAACAAAAAGCTCCTGTCTAAGGTGCCTTATCAGTTGCCTGTGACACCTTCAAAAAATGGTCAAACCTCAACCAGCACAGCTCCGTGACGTATCAAGCTTGCTCGTCCTTGTGTGATTGACGTCCTTTGCAGCTCTGTAACAGAAGCACCTGGATCCACGGCCAGAGACTTGACCTTAGAAGCTTCCTCCTGCTGCTTCCAGAAGGGTGGAGCTGCGGTGTGACATTTGTTGTTGGTACAACTAGTTGTCCACAAGCGTTCAGGTTTGTGTTGGGGGTTCCTCGGGACTTGTGTGGTTTGGGCTTGCCTCCCTTCCCCCCTTAACAAAGGAAGACGAGGCAAAAACAAAACCAAAGACGACAAACCCTCCAACGAAAAACCAACAATGAGAACGCCCCACCACATGCCAGACCTTTGCCAGCAAGCAACCAATAATCCCCTTAGAACCTCAATAGAAACAATCTGTTTATAAATATCCTCTTGGGTTTTTATATAAACAAAAATGAAAAAATCCCAATAGGGGGATATAGCAACTTTCGAGCCACGAGATTGTAGCTCCTCATGCAGCTTCATGGCGTAGGCAGAGTTCGCCAGCTTGGTCATGTGATATCGCGTCCAGGGGCCTCCGCAAAGCCCCGCCACCTCGCTGAGCATCCACCTTGGGGGACGAATTCTGAACCCCAAAAGGGTTTTCATGGCTCATACTACCTTAATAGGATTCATAGTAGTACAGGGTACATGACCCCAATTTTAGGGTTTATATGGGTTCATATTACATACTACTATAACTCCTATTAAGGTATATGAACCCTAGGGACCCTAGACCCTTTGAGGGTTCATTTGGTCCCAAGGCACTGGTGGCTCCCACCCAAGGTGTTGGGCTCGGCTTTCTTGAAGTACTTGGCCTTGGACGGAATCGCCTAGATCTGGGGGTTTGCGAAATAGAAGGGACCCCTAGTATAGACCTCCAAATAGTTGGATCCCCTTGTAGTAAGGACCGAAAAGGTCGCAAAACCCCCCTTTGTGGCTAGAGCACATCCCAAATTTACGCCCCTAAACCCTGAACATGGTCGCCTCTGGCCGAGGGAGCCAACCCCCCCCCCCCCCCCCTGCAGGAGCTGCCATCATGGGTTTACCAGGATGGGCTGTTATACCCCAGAATCCCTTAGAAAGGGCCCTTTATAGGGTTGATTGGGGATTCTATATAAGGCCTGTAATAGCCCATCCTGGTAGGGGACCCTCCTCAGAACCTAACTGCCCATACGACGCTGCATGTGTTGGCTCAAATAAGACTATTCAGGCGTTCAATAAGCCTATATACGTCCCCCCCAAAGCTCACTTATGCTGCTGGCGTAAGTTCTTCGGGTCTTCTGGCCGGCTACTTATCAGAATGGTGGCCGAATCTGCAACCCGTCCGTGTGGACTGGAAACTTTCATGTGCGCCACTTGGGCCACCGACATGCACGTCCCGTGGCTTAGCGGCTTGGGGCCCCCCCGGCTGCTGCGGCCGCGCGAGCGCGCGCGCGAGTGTTTACAGATTCAGAGGATAGCTAAAGGGCCTTTTTAAGGGATTGTGAGGTACAATAGCCCATCCTGGTAACATATAACTTCGAGAAGCGACCTCCAAGTCGCAGAAAGGAAAATCGCGGGCGCTGGAGCTGTGGAAGACCACTCGTGCATCGCCCTTCCTTCGGGTCACGCCCCAGGCTCTGCAAAGAAGGACAAGATCCATGGGGACCCAATGAACCCCAAAAGGGGGGTTATAGGACCTTAGGAATAGAAAGGGTATATGGCCCCAATTTGGGGGTTTATGGTTCGTATGCCGTAATCGAGGTTCATAGAAAAGCCCTTTTTCGCCAGGTTGTAGGACCTTTCGGAGTATAGGGTATCTGATAGCCCCAGTGTTAGGGTGTATTGTCCCCAAGGATTGCTCCCAGCATGCTCAGTAAGTGCTGCGAGAGTCTGGTTGGCACATGCCTCCAGCTGTGGCATGAGCTTCGACAGGAGCAAGACGTGCGCCAATTGGTTGGTGTGCATCTGAACGTCAAATCCCTCGCCTAAGGCAAGTGAGAAAGATGGAAATCTATAAGCACAGCTGTCAATGTGGGCATCTCCCGAAATAAGGGGCAACCCTTGTATACCCCAAGACGCTTGTCTCTTACAAGGGTGTTGCAACCCCACTCTGGGACCTCCGCCCTCCCCACACGCCTCCCGCCCCCCCTCCAGCCCCCCCTCAACCCTAAACCCTAAACCCTAAACCCAAAATCCTAAACCCTCAACCTGGCCCCCCTCCCCCCCCATCCCACACCCCTCCATGGTACAGCGCTCTCACGATGCAAGCCATGGTGCTAGTCCGAATGTCGTTCAGTGCCATGACGCCGGCATTCAGGGCCAACACATCCAGCCCCTGCGTTTTAGGGTTTAGGGTTTAGGGTTTAGGGTGCTTTGCAACAGAGGCAGTCGGAAGTATTGGGAAGATACTATTTGCTTAAGAACCCCACCAAAAATAAAAAAATGAAAGTCCCTATATTGCCCTTATAAGGAGGTTCATTTCTTATTTTGTTCGGTGGGTTCTGAAGAAATTAGCAGTAAGTGAGAGCATCTGCCACGATTACACAAACTGGAGTCGCGGATTCGCGAGGTGCCCTGGGGATGTGAAAGACCAAATGAACCCTAAAATTGCGGTCATATATCCTGACTCCATAATTCCCATTAAGGCAGTATGAACCCTAAACCCTTTTAGGGTTCAATTCGTCCCCAAGGAAAGCACATGGCCTGGCTTCCCACCACGCTTTGCACCTTTCCAGCTGCCTCGCGAACGGAGTCGAAGCTCATCAAGTCGCAGGGGATTGTCATCACCTGCCCGGGTTTAGGGTTTCGGGTTTAGGGTTTAGGGGAACACTTCGGCACTGTGGGCTTTCTTCCGTAAGCCTTGGGGACGAATTGAACCCTAAAAAATCGGGGTCATGTACCCTGACTACTATAATTCCTATGATAGGTATAAGAACCATAAACCCTTTTAGGGTTCATTTCGCCCCCAAGGAGGACCAACAGCTGCAGCTGCCTGAGCTCCGGCGCTCTTCTTGTCGGCCACGGCCTTCTCTGCCGCGCTAGCGCGCTCGGAAGGGCGGTTGAGCAGGAGTACCTCTCTGAGTCGGGGCTTAGGGTTTAGGGTTTAGGGTTTAGGGTTTAGGGTTTAGGGTTTAGGGTTTAGGGTTTAGGGTTCAGATAGGGACTTCCGCCCAGGATGGGCTATTCTACCTTATATATAATCCCTTAAGAAATAGCCCGTTAGAGAGGGTTGATTATCGGGATTTCGAAGGCCGGATGATTCACCCTGGTCCCTGGCTAAACACCATGCCTCACCTTCTGCACCGAGCACTTTCCAATACTTCCAAGACCCAAGGGGTCTACGATTATATATGTAGTACATATCTAGACATTTATAGATATATACATGTATATATACATATATGCATATAATACTACTCTTCTTCTGATCATTATGAAACAAATAAATAAATAAGGAAATAAATAAATAATATATATATATATATATATCTATCTATATATATATATATACACATGCAGATACGCGAAATCGCATCCACTTACACATGCTTCCTCAACCCCCCATGGGCTGCCTTGGCAGCGCCCTTTCGGGCCGCGAGCAGTGCCAAGTAGAAGCCCAGGCCGGTGGTGCACCCTGTGCAGTGGGTTTAGGGTTTAGGGTTTAGGGTTTAGGGTTTAGGGTTGGGACGTTAGGAAGCTTAGAGGGCAACACTCAGAGTAGTACTAGTAACAATAAGCACCATAGTAAGAATCAGAAGAAGAAGAATAGTACTAATTCGAAGAACAATAGGAAGAATATTCCTAATCAAAAATCTGGTAGTGATATTTATTCCGATGCAAATCAGAAGCTTGAAGGGTTTAAGGGGTTCGGAGGTCCTATGGCTTCACAAGCGCGCTTGGGAGCACCCTAAACCCTAAAGCCTAAACCCTAAACCCTAGCTCGCTTGGGAGCACCAAAAAAACAACCTGTGCAGAAGCGTGGTCCGGAATGTCGAAGAGCAGGGGCCACCGCTACTTCTCTGCTAGCTGCAGAAAGAACCCCCCCCAAAAAAACAACAAACATATTCTTCCTGATAAGGGCAAAATAGGGGTGATTACTTTGTTTATTCTTTTGGGGTTCTTAAGCAAAAAAAGATGCTTCCTTATCAGGCTAACATATGGATCACTATTCTTTTATTCTTCAGGGGTTCTTAAGCAAATCGCTTCTGAGGGCGGGCGCCTGTGATGGCCACCGACTTGCCAGTCAGGCTCGGGAGCTTTGCCAACACCTCATAGGGTTTAGGGTTTAGGGTTTCGGGTTTAGGGTTTAGGGTTTAGGGTTTAGGGTTTAGGCGATTCCCCTCACTCGGTTCCTTGAAATCCAAATGAACCCTGAAATTGGGGTCATGTACCCTATACTACGAGAATTCCTATTAAGGCATATGAGCCATAAGCCCCTTTAAGGTTCATTTCGTCCCCAAGGCACTGAGTTCCCTCAACCCTTCAGCGCCTCTTCGTAGATCTCTTCCGGCCTTTCGACGGCTTTCGGATTGAAGTCGCTGAAAACTGCCCCCATCGGTGCAGTAGCCACTAGAACGGGATGCTCCGTGCAAACTGGTGCCGCTTGAGCCCAGAAAGGGAGCAAAGTTCTGGCCGTCTGACTATTTTGGCCCCTCCATCAGAGTCTCCCCAACAGACAAGGGCGGGGGGGGGGGGGGGGAATGAGTCCTAAACTTGGGGTCATATATCCTGATTACTACAATCCCTACTAAGGTACTAAGGTATGTGAACCATAAACCCTTCTAAACTTTTTAGGGTTCATCCTTGGGGGGAGGGCTACGTTTCAGGGAGGCACTCTCTGCGCCCCACTTCGGCTCCTCATTCATCTTGCTGAAAAGCTTGGCATACCGCTTCTTCTCCTGTCGGTTGGTACATATCCCCTGAGCCCTCAACCCTATAAACCCTATAAACCCTATTAAACCTAAAAACCCTAAAAACCCTATAAACCCTATAAACCCTAAACCTTGTGCCAGTGTGTCACTGTGGCAAGAACCGAACTCTGTCTTCCGGCGCCTGTGAATTGTGCTGGGAGAAGGCCTGCTTCAACCTCCAGGCGAAAGCCAGGTTTAAAGCCAGGTTTAGGGTTTAGGGTTTAGGGTCTAGGGTCTAGGGTTTAGGGTAAACCCTTACAACCCTTACAACCCTTAAACCCTAAACCCTTAAAACCCTCAAACCCTAAACAGTTAAACCCTAAACCCCTGAACCCTTAAACCACCGCTTCAACTCGGGAGCGCCCAGGCGCGCTGAACAAAGCAACCATGGGGGACCAAATGGACCCTAAAATTGGGGTCATATACCCTATACTACTATAAATCCTATTAAGGATACAGGGCTTCGGGTTCTAGGGCTTAGGGTTTTTAGGGTTTCGGGTAATATGAACCATTGGAACCCTTTTAGGGTTCATAACCATGGGGGCACCTTTTGAGCTCCTTCTCCACGGCTGGATCCTGACACTTTGCATCAGTACATTGTCGGCTTGAGGCTTTAGGGTTTAGGGTTTAAGGTTTATGGTTTATAGGGTTTAGGGTTTAAGGTTTATAGTTTGTAGGGTTTAGGGTTTAAGGTTTATAGTTTATAGGGTTTAGGGTTTAAGGTTTAAGGTTTATAGGGTTTTTGGCTGAGGGAGCATGATCTGCCATCTGCAGCAATGACATTCCTCAGAAGCCTGTCAATGCAGAAGTGCGTTGTGTGCGGAAACCAAGAATCCACAAACTTAATTCGTTTAGGGTTTAGGGTTTAGGGTTTAGGGTTTAGGGTTTAGGGGCGTCACAGCGACCGAACTGCCACAAGCGAAGAACCTAGCACCTCCAGTTTTCGGTCGAGGGTTCGGCTTGTCTGGTACCACAAACGCTAGTGTGCACGTAAGAAATGCCAATCTTCGAAGCTTTCGAATTGGATTTCATAATCGGGTGGGATAATACAACAGTGTCTAAGTCTGATAGCCAGAACGCATTCACGGAGAAGCTGATTGGTGACTCGTGGCAAACCTAGAACCCACAGAATCTGTATGCACCGAGCCGAAACAAGAGAAGCAATGTTGTAAAGACAAATGTGCTGCTGAGCTAGTGCTGCTTTTCGAAGCATGAGCATGCGACAGCATCTAGGTAGCTACATGAAACTGCTCAGGTATCTCAGGTGCTTTGCAAAGAAGCTACTGGCCGCAGGTGTCGCTTTGCCAGCATTCGCCGCCTCTGTGGGAGAGCGAGCCTTTTCCCGTTCCATCCGCGGCTTAGCAAGCGGGGGTGGAGGGGGGGGGGGGGGGGGGGGGGGGGTTGTGATCATCCCAAATCCGCCTGGCTGCGATTGAGTGTTTGGGCCAGGTCCGCCCGAATCAGAACCGCCGCAGGCTACCCCTTCCCCCAAAGGCGATTCCTGTTAAGGTAATGTGAACCTAAACCCTTTTAGGGTTCATTTCGCCCGCCCTGAAAAAACCTCTACGAGAGCGAAACAGTTCTCTGCTCGCAGTTCCCGCCCATGGCCTTGGGGACCACATGAACCCCACAATTGGGGCCATACACCCCATACTACTATAATTCCGATTAAGGTAATATGATCCCTTAAAACCCTCCTAGAGGGCTCATTTCGTCCCCAAGGATGGCACTATAGGGGCCTTCATACTTAGAATAGGGTTTGGGGGTCATTATATAGTCTAACTACAAAGGGGCCATAAGGGAATACTACGAGTCATTACTCCGACCCCCCAACCCTAAACCCTAAACCCTAAACCCTAAACCCTAAACCCTAAACCCAAACTTATTCCGGCCCCCATATTGTGAAAGCCGCAGGGGTGTGAAGTGTGCGACTTCGCCGCGGCGTCCTGTGGTTCGAGGGCGCGGGCTTGCTCGAAGTCCTCCTTCGCCTTTCATGGCCACTGGGGGTTTAGGGTTTAGGGTTTAGGGTTTGGGGGCTGTTCGGCCTTATAATCCCCATAGTCAACCCTATGAAGGGCCTTTTTCAGGGATTGTGAGGTATCATAGCCCATCCTGACATGGCCACTGGGGCGTTTTTTTTTGGCAGGGAAAATTTGCACACACGATTTATCAACCCTAAACCCTAAACCCTAAACCCTAAACCCTAAACCCTAAACCCTAAACCACGGAGACATTGCAAGCCCTGCTCCTCCTTTTCACACGGCCTTTTTTCTGGAGAATGCGGTTAAAGGACGCCTCAACCTTGGGGAGGAGATGAACCCTGACAGGGTTTATGGCTCATACACCTTACTAGGAATTATAGTAGTTGTGGGTATATGACCCCAATTTTCATATACCTGAATAGGAATTATAATAGTCAGGGCATATGACCCGAAATTTTGGGTTCATACTCTTGGCCCCCCAAGGAAGAGCCCTCAAGAGCCGATGGGGCGCCTCATCTAAGTTCCGAAGTTCAAGGTGCGCTTGTCCTGGAGAGGCATAAGGAACGGCGAAGGAGCGAAGAAAAACTGGAGAATACCAAAACCCTAAACCATAAACCCTATAAACCCTATAAACCCTATAAACCCTATTAACCCTATAAACCCTATAAACCCTATAAACCCTATAAACCCTATAAACCCTATAAACCCTATAAGCCCTATAAACCCTAAACCCTAAACCCCTTCGAGCTACTCACGCCGTATCACCACGCCTAACGATTGACTTATCCGATTCTAGGCCAAAGAGGAAGAGAGGCTACACGAGCCTGAGCTTGCGTGCTACCCTTTCAAGCTCCCCCTCTGCCTCTTCGGAAGTAGGCCTGTGCAGCATCAGCACGTACCAACATGGTTGATTTTGTCAAAGCCTCACCTAAGGTACGGTTCCTACAGATCACGCAGTGCAACATGGACATTTCGCAACCGATCTAAGCCGCAGACCTTGGACAAAGGACATGTGGCAAGAGCCTTTGTGCACCTTCAGCTGGTCAGGAGAATCGGCTGACGTCTCTGATGCACTTTTGCTGGGGTTCATGGCTCATATACCTGAATGGGAAATAGTAGTATAGGGCATATGACCCCCAATTTTAGGGTTCATCTCGTCCCCAAGGTTCTGCTACTGAACTGCCAGATGTGGCATCTTCGTCTCTGAGTTGTCGGCGGCGATCCCTCGGCTGGTGCGCGCGTGCCTTCTCCGATCCCGCACGTGCTCCCCAGGAAGCTGGCACTGTGGCACTTCCCTCGCTTGTTTGCTTGCTAAATGTGCCTGCCTTCTTTCGCGTGGTGTAATGCGCATCCGGTTGGTGATCTTCCGTCACGGCCGTCATGGCGGATACTCCCCTGTCTGTGAGCACAGTGCTTGGCAGACTTCGAATTACGGCCAGAAGCGGGGAAGAAGCTCTGCAGTTCGATTTGAGGCCATGGAGCAACCGAAGCTGGGTGCAATTTGCAACCTGCGAGGCGTTTAGCGAAGCTGGAGTTTGCATGCTTTCAAGCGGCAACGTCGGGCGAAATTTCTCAGGTGACCATATACGAATATACCAGCATGGGCTACTAGGTCTCAAAATCCCCTAACCAACCCCCCTAACCAACCCTATAAAGGGCCTTTTTTTGAGGGGGCTACAGGGTCTAATAGCCCATGTAGGTGCTCGGAAGGTTCTTTCTACACTCGAGCGCCGGCTGAAAGAAACCTGCACTGCTCCAAGAAAACACTGCCATGTCTCCAATGTCAAGGCGGCGTTGGCCAGGGTTTAGAGTTTAGGGTTTAGGGTTTAGGGTTTAGGGTTTAGGGTTTAGGGTTTAGGGTTTAGGGTTTAGGGTTTAGGGTTTCGACGTGTATCCGTTCAATTCAGTCTGGGCTGGAGTGCTTGTCTCGTCTATACAATGGAAGAAGCAGCGACATGGTACCATAAAGTGAGTTCACGGCTTCGAGACCCGCTTAAAACGAACACACTTACTTAATTACATACTTACTGCCTTACTTACTCACTTACTTGCTTGCTTACTTACTTTAGTTAGTTAGTTACTTACTTACACTTTGCATGTGCCGTGCATCTGAGGCTGCTCGAGTCTCAGGGCTTCACAGCTTTGGGAAAATAAAGGTCGGGAGACTGGCAACTGTAAACTTGCGACCTGCGCGCCGAGGCAGGGACGACTCGATGCACTTGCGATGCTCCCCGAGCTTCAGGTAGCACCTCACGAGCCGAGAGCCATTGTTGGACTTCCAAGCAGTTTTGAAGGAATAAAGGAACCGGGCACCTTATAGACTGGACTATACTAGCCTTGAAGTGATAGTCTGCAGCAAAGAGCATCATCCCGCATATTAGCCTTGTAGGGGATTCATCTGGGGCATCTGATTCCCGACCATGCCCTGCGTTTCCCTACTGTTCCCCAGCGTCCCCGAAGAAGCTGTAGGAGTTTTGAAGGCTTGGGGTTTCAAGGGGTAGATGGAGGGTTCCTTAGAAGGGAACCTTCATCTTATTCCCCTATATCGCCCCTTATATATACCTTATATAGTCCCTATGTACCCTACAATGAACCCGTTTATATACCTTATAGTCCCTATACACCTACGTACTATACTCCCCTTAGAACCTTAATAAAACTAGCATTTTCCAAAGATCCTCTTGGGTGTTATATCAACAAAACATAAAAAAATAGTTCCCAAGGGGGATATAGAGTATAAGCCCCTAAATGACCCCCCCTGCCCCCTGCCCCCCCCCCCCCTGCCCCCAAGGGCTCCGGCGCTGCCATGTTCAGGTTCGTCGACTGCTTGAGCTTCTTGACGTCCTCGGGGGCAAGGCTCCGCTCAGCTCTCTCGCGGGTGCAGGTTTAGGGTTTAGGGTTTAGGGTTTAGGGTTTAGGGTTTAGGGTTTAGGGTTTAGGGTTTAGGGTTTAGGGTTTAGGGTTTAGGGTTTAGGGTTTAGGGTTTAGGGGGTTCTCTTGGAGCTTGGAGCTGTCCTCGACCTTCTCTTCAGGCACGTTGAAGGAGGTGGCAGATTTGCCTAGGATTCAGCTCAGGAGCCGGGTGCCGGGGGACCCTAAACCCTAAACCCTGAACCCTGAACCCTAAACCCTAAGTTCTGTAGGGTCTTAGAAGCCGGGCACACCTTGAAGCAACTGCCTCAGAAGCCCTAAACCCCTAAACCCTAAACCCCTAAGCCCCTAAACCCTAAACCCTAAACCCTAAACCCTAAACCCTAAACCCTAAGCAGATAAGAAGGATTCACGGCAAGCGGCCCATCATCTCTGCATACTGCGATGCCTGAGGTGACATTGCGACACAGAGCCCGAGCTGAAATCTTCCTCTTGGGGACCCATGAGGAGCCCTAAAATTGGGTCAGAGAACCCTGACTACCATAACTCCTCTTCTCAGGGAATATGAACCCTAAAAACCCTAACCCCTAGCCCTAAACCCTAAACCCTAAACCCTTTTAGGGTTCAGAATTCGTCCCCCCCCAAGGTCTTACAAAAGCACAGAGAGAGCTTCCAGCCTGGCTTCGCTCTCCCGGGAGCTGCAGCCCATTGATGTAGCAGAAGACCTGCAACAGCAGGTTTCATTCGTGAATTTTTTTTGGGGGAGGAGGGTTATAGGACAAACCCTAAACCCTAAGCCCTAAGCCCTAAGCCCTAAGCCCTAAACCCACTAAACCCAACAAGGGCCAAGAAGGCCTTGTGATAGCTGCCCAGCGCCCCACGAAAGTTCTGCTCCTGCCACCGAAGGAGAAATTTGCAGTCTGTGGCTGTGGCTGGCTGAGCTCTTGAAGCTTGTACAGGGTTTAGGGGTTTAGGGTTTAGGGTTTAGGGTTTAGGGTTTAAGGTTTAGGGTTTAGGGTTTAGGGTTTAGGGTTTAGGGTTTAGGGTCTCTGGTGCGGTCCTTGAACCGTGTGTTGCCCTCCTGTTTGTAAGCTTCCGCCTGGCACCAGCCAGCATCGAGACTCAGCTTCAAGAACTCCTAACTCCTAAACCCTAAACCCAAAAGCTGCCCAAGGGGTCCATTGGACCCTAAAATTGGGGTCATACACCCTGTACGACTATAATTCCTATGAAGGTAATACAGCCCAAAAGCCGCTCAGGGGTCCTTGGAGACCGAATGAACCCTAAAATTGAGGCCGGATACCCTCTGTACTAGAATCCCGATTAAACCCTAAACCCTAAAACCCTAAAACCCTAAAACCCTAAAACCCTAAAACCCTAAAACCCTAAAACCCTAAAACCCTAAAACCCTAAAACCCTAAAACCCTAAAACCCTAAAACCCTAAAACCCTAAAACCCTAAAACCCTAAAACCCTAAAACCCTAAAACCCTAAAACCCTAAAACCCTAAACCCTAAAACCCTAAAACCCTAAAACCCTAAAACCCTAAAACCCTAAAACCCTAAAACCCTAAAACCCTAAAACCCTAAAACCCTAAAACCCTAAAACCCTAAAACCCTAACACCCTAAAACCCTAAAACCCTAAAACCCTAAAACCCTAAAACCCTAAAACCCTAAAACCCTAAACCCTGAAATGAAGGTACATGAACCATTGAACCCTTTGAGGGTTCATGTGGACTCCATGGCTAGACAGCTCGAAAATCCCTGCAGCAATGGTTGCTCCTGCCTGGGCTATCTGCTCCGATGGGTCTGCCATCGCCTCAAGAACAGGTTTTTTGGGCTTGGCCCCTCGGCTCCGATCTAGGGGGAACTTCACGAACATGATTCTTCCGCTATGCAACGCTCATCCAGAAGCCCTAAACCCTAAACCCTAAACCCCTAACCCCTAAACCCTAAACCCTGTGGGAGGCATGTGGCAAGCGATTTGTCGAGCACCCGAGTCCGTGCGTGAGTCTTCGCCTCCTTTGGATCGACTTTGTTGGTGTCCAGCACCAAAGCCCGCTTAAGGCATCGACTTAGGGTTTGGTATTCAGGGTGTATAGGGTTTAGGGTTTAGGGTTTAGGGTTCAGGGTTTAGGGTTAAGGGTTTAGGGAGCCTGTGTCGACGTCACAAGAGCCGTCTGCTTGCAGCAAGCCTTTCGGCTGCCATCATCGCGGGGTCTCCGAGGCTAGCGTACAGTTTTGTCCATTCGCCGTGGGGACCTTGCTTGGCAAGACACCCGTGAGACTGTTGCCATGACATGGCAGAAAATGGAGACAGGCTTGAAGGTGTTGACATGTGTTGACCGGGCTGACATAAAGTAGGGCCTGTTTGCCTGGTATCCCCCGATTACAGGAATTTTAAACCCTGATTGATATCATCCCATCCGCAGGGGCCCCGGAAATCGCCATCAAGGCCTTCGAGTCCTGTCACCAAAGGGAGCATTTACTCGGTTCGACGAAGGGCAACACCGAGGCGTCTCAGCCGTGGCCTGGTGTAGCCCTGCCCCTACGGCCCCATGGGCGTTCTGTCATGTTCTGAACACGTTCTGTCATGTTCCACCTCTTTTTGCGATTCTTTGTGTGTGTTCCGGCTTTCCTTGAAACCATCGAAAGCTCCATGCACAGAACTTGGAGAGGCTCGCCCGATGGTCGCAGTGACCATGGACACTCGTCAACAGGAACGAAGGCGCAGAACGGTGCGCTCTTTGCCACAGAGCCCACAAAGCCCCAGCTGAGGCTTTAAAAAGGAGCTCTGTTGGCAAGCTGTGACTTACCAGAGAGAAAACGATGCATTCGGGCATGTCATATTGATAAGCTTGAAGCCTTCAGGGTCCTCAGGGGGTTTAGGGTTTAGGGTTTTGGGCTTTTGCTGCGCAAGTCACGGCTCGCTTTCATAAGCCTTCTTCGGCCTTAAGGCACTCTCTTTTTAAATCAAATCGCCGCTCCGAAGCCGGGATGCCAAACTTCGGTGCCATGGAAAGCGACCTGCACAGACGCTTGGGGCTCGCAGCTGTTGTGCGAACGCTTCGCATGGGTCCTAGACCGCACCTTAGAAGAACCCCTAAACCTAATCTTTTGTAGGCTGATGATTCTAACAAAACCCTTTTGGAATGCTAGGAAGGCCACCTACTCAATGAAAAGGGCAGGTCAATAGAGGCTCTCTCCAGGCCGCTTCGATCTGCATACCATGAGCCATACCACAAGAAGGGTACCCATCTTCGGCGGGTGGTTTTCTAGTCTCCCAGAAAGGATATGCATAGGCCCTGTAAACCCTAAACCCTAAACCCCTAAACCCTAAACCCTAAACCCTAAACCCTGAACCCTGAACCCTAAACCGTAAACCCTAAACCCTAACACTCACCCAAGAAAGAGAGCGCTTGGCCCCCAGACGTGCCTAGACCACGGTGGAGGGGGGTCGCTGGACCCTTTCACGGGCAGGCACTCCTCAGGGTTTAGGGTTTAAGGTTTAGGGTTAGAGACGGGAAAGACAGGACTTGAAACAAAACCCATCTATTCGAAACCTCCTTGGATCCATGAAAACTGCAAAAGACTTCAAGTTGCTTTGTGATGGGATCCGAGCCATGTCATCGGGTCCCCTAAATGATAAACCCTCAATCCTAAACCCCACAACCCTAAACCCTAAACCCTAAACCCTAAACCCTAAACCCCAAACCCTCTCTTTCCAGAGACTCCGAAGGTTGGACCCTGCGATGCCCTCAGATAACTCAAGGGTGTCTGAACTGTCGGAAGTCTCCGACAAGAAGCCGCAGTTTGGGGTTTAGGGTTTAGGGTTTAGGATTTAGGGTTTTGGGGTTTAGGGTTTAGGGTTGTGGTTTGGGGGTTTAGGGTTTTGGGGTTTAGGGTTGTGGTTTAGGGTGTCCCTTCCCCACTTGCAGGTGTATGGGTACTGTTGAGTAGGGGCGCCCAAGTCGGGTGACTTGACTTCTAGTTGCTCATACCCTTGGTCGGGTTTTACATTCCCACTGAAAAAGGTACTCATGAACCTATATCACATGCTCAAAATCGGGGTTTCCGAAATTCGGGGTACCTTCTTGGGGTCCGATTCTGAGGGGATCCTACGATCTGGGGGGCTATATTCAGGGTCCCTCATTTTCGGAAACCCCCAGATGAACCTGGTGGCCCTAACCCTAAACCCTAAACCCTAAACCACCGCTGCTCCTGGCAGCGCGTGCGCGAGATCCAGGACGCGAATCACGCTGCGGAGCAAGTTGCTCATCATTAGACCTTGTTCAAACAGAGAGAGAAAGAGAGAAAGAGAGAGGGAGAGAGAGAGAGAGGAAGCAAGAGAGAGAGAGAGAGAAAGAGTGAAAGAGAGAAAGAGAGAAAGAGAGAAAGAGAGAAAGAGAGAAAGAGAGAAAGAGAGAAAGAGAGAAAGAGAGAAAGAGAGAAAGAGAGAAAGAGAGGAAGAGAGGAAGAGAGAAAGAGAGAAAGAGAGAAAGAGAGAAAGAGAGAAAGAGAGAAAGAGAGAAAGAGAGAAAGAGAGAAAGAGAGAAAGAAGAAAGAGAGAAAGAGAGAAAGAGAGAGAAAGACAGAAAGACAGAAAGAGATGAAGAGAGAAAGAGAGAGGTGGAGATCAAGCCGGCAAAGGTTACGCAACGGCCCGAAAGCATGTGAACACCTGCCCCTCCCTAAGCCCCAATCCCTAGTACCCCGAGAAAGCCTAACAACCCTAAAGTGCTCCAACAAGCCTAATTAGTAAACCCTAAGAAACCTAAAGCGCCCTAATAAGCCTAACACACCCTAAACCCTAAACCCTCAACCCTCAACCCTGAACCCTAAACCCTGAACCCTAAACCCTAAACCCTAAACCCTAAGCCCTAAACCCTAAACCCTAAACCGCTCTAAGCACCGCAGGTCCCAGCAGCGTAGGGAGATGACGTCGCACTTGGTGATCGGCCCCCTCAGCTGCATGAGACCTTCGACCAGCCTCAGCTTTGGGGGGAGAGGGGGTGGCGCTTTGGCTCACAGGGCAGTGGGGTTTAGGGTTTAGGGTTTAGGGTTTAGGGTTTAGGGTTGAGGGTTTAGGGTTGAGGGTTTAGGGTTTAGGGTTGAATGATTTGATTCCACACAATGGTCACTAGGAAAGGAACGGCCATGTTTAGGGTTTAGGGTTTAGGGTTTAGGGTTTAGGGTGCCGGTTTGAGTTTAAGGTTTCTATTCCATGGCTTACCGGGGGGTTGAGTGCTTCTAGTGATCACTGCGGGTCTTACCACGGCCCCTTTGCAGCCACGGGATTGGCCCTAAACCCTAAACCCTATAAACCCTAAACCGGGGGGGGGGGGGGGGGGGCGTTCTTATGTCGAATCCAAGACGCTCGCTGAAGTGAAGCTGGCCACCGAGGTCGGCGTCCAGGACGTCAAAGAGATCCTGGGGAGTTTAGGGGTGTTTAGGGTTGAGGGGTCTAGGTTTTAGGGGTTTAGGGGCCATTCTGTTTAGGGTTTAGGGGTTTAGGTTTTCGGGTTCATAGGGCGTATAGGGTTTAGGGTTTAGGGCTTAGGGGTTTATAGGGTTTAGGGCTTTATGGGATTTAGGGGTTAAGGGTTTTAGGGGTTTCTAGGGTGTAGGGTTTATAGGGTGTAGGGTTTAGCGGTTTATAGGGTTTAGGGCTTAGGGGTTTACAGGGTTTAGGGGTTTCTAGGGCTTTGGGTGTGGGGTTTATCCTTCTGCGTGGTGCTCTCGAGGTGTTCGTGTGGCCTTCTGCTCGGCACTGGGCTCCACTTTCGTGCGCATTGTATGTCACTGTTCTACACATTTCATGTAAAGGCAAGTCGCTTCGTGAGCTGCTGTTGGGGTCTATTTCGGCTCTAGGGTTTAGGGTTTAGGGGATGCTATGTCCTTGGCACTGCCCTGTCGTCTGCGGACACAACTTACAGGTGAGAGACACTCAGAGACCTGTGGAGATTGCAGCCAAGATTCATACTTTGTTGCCGTCCTCGGTTTGGGGCGTAGGGTTTAGGGTTTAGGGTTTAGGGTTTAGGGTTTAGGGTTTAGGGTTTAGTGCGAACTCGAGATCAAAAACGTGCACAAAAGACCAAAAGAGCATGCGCAGATCCAACCCACCCACCCCCCTAGACCCTAAGCCCCTACATGCCCCCATCTGGCGTCCATGCTGTTTATAGGGTTCTTAAGGGAGGAGGGTTCAAACGGGGGTATGTCACCCAAGCTTCCCTAATACTCCCCACTACTCTTTAAGGCTCCCTAAGCTTCCCTAAGGGTTCCCTAGGTACTTACCCCCCTTGAACCCCCTCCCTTAAGAAACCCTAAACCCCAAACCCCAAACCCCAAAAACCAAACCCTAAACCCTAAACCCTAAACCCTAAACCCTAAACCCTAAACCCTAAACCCTAAACCCTAAACCCTAAACCCTAAACCCTAAACCCTAAACCCTATAGATTCTGAGTGCGCAGCTCGATCTTGCAGAAAGTCAGCAGCTCCTGCATCTCCTGAAGGATTCCGCGAGTGCGCGCGTCCGAGCTTCACCCTAGATGAACCCCTGAACCCCGACACTCCTGAACTCCCCTCAGCCCCCCTAAGCCCCGCGAAACTCCCCAAAACCTTTTTGACCCCTAAACCCCCCACACCCCCAAAATCCTCCCAAAATCACCCAAAATCCCCCCTGAAACCCCCCAAAGCCCCCCCAAAACCCCCCAAAAGCAGCCCTCCAAGTCCCATCCAAGCAGCTGGGTATTCGAGCCAGCGAGTGAAGGCCTCCCGTGTCACCGCCACCTGAACTCGGGCTTGAGGAGGTCTGAAGTACTTGTTGTATTGTACATGTATACATACGTATACCGATAAAACATGCACATCAACATATGTTTAATGCATGTGTTTATTAGCAATATGGTGGGCGCATACATACATACATACATACATACATACATACATACATACATACATACATACGTACATGCGTACATGCATGCATGCATGCATGCATGCATGCATACATGCATACATGCATACATGCATACATGCATGCATACATACATATATGTATGTGTACATATACACATTATTTACATTCAAAGCGGTGACACTGTTTATCTACATGACATAAAAAAGAACGACACATGTTCTGCAATGCACACATATTGAAGATGGAAGCCCCCTTCAGCGCCCATTCGGAGCGCACCTCCTTGTTCATCTCCTTATGCACGTTCAGCCGCATGCTCTTCTTCAGATGCGTCGGCCTCCTCCCGAATCGCTGAAAGCTCCATTGTGACTCCGGAACCCCTTCCTCCTTACCTACAGCTTTAGATGGGTTCTACCTACTAACTAAGGGCAAAACTGTGGGTAAAAACCTCCAAGCCCCTAAACCCTGAATCCCCCTTGAGTTTAGGTTTTGAGTTAGTGGGTGCATGGGCCTCTTTATGGGCATGCGTCTGTTGGGACAGATTTCATGCGTCCGGACTACCGAACTATTTATAAAACTGGCCGAACTATTTATAAATCGTCCGGAACCGCTCGGAACCGTTCTGGACTGTTTGTAACCGTATTGCGAGACACCATCGCCGACCATCGCTCAAATCAAAGCCCCACAGAGGTTATAAGTCGCCCGGAACCGCTCGGAACCGTTCCGAACTGTTTATAAACGTCGGGTTCATATATAGTCCAGAACGGTTCCGAGCGGTTCCGGACTATCTGGAACGATTTCGAATCATCTGCTGGAAAATTTATATATAGTTCTGAGGACTTTTATATATAGATCGAGGAAATTATATATAGTTCCTGAACCATGCGGGGTGCCCAACAGTTAAAGAGGCCTACGCACCTACTTAGTTTTGAGGGATTAATCCCCCTAAATCCTAAACCCTTCAACCCCTAAACCTCTTGATCCTGGTCAGGGCCGGCAGTGTGCCGACTTCGCCCAACGCGAGCCCAGTTGTTGTAGGCCCGAAACCCTAAACCCTAGTGACACTATCTCTTAAGACCCCGGCCCTCCCCGAAACCGGGTTTAGGGTTTAGGGTTTAAGGTTTAGGGTTAAGGGTTTAGGGTTAAGGGTTTAGGGTTTACCCTCAAGTCCGCAAGCCAGTCGCTCCTAAAAACCAAAAAGCAAAGTTCAAACACCCAAGCCCTCACCAACAAAACTGAAAGACGGCCAGTCCTCACAAAAAAGCTGCCTTGGCGAGCGGGGTATCTTTGGAGTTGGGTTCAGGAAGTCATGGTTGTACGACTTCTCTCCGAGCTGTCTTTGACCCGTTTTTGTTTTGACAGCAAAGAGTGCAAATCTCAAAGATTCATATGTACACATATATATGTATATACATATATGTATGTATATATATATAGGAACTTTTGGTCGTGGAATCTCAAAGAAACATGTCGGGTTTTAGGGTTTGGGCTGTGGAAGATGCGACAGAACTCTCGCACTGCTCCCGAGGAGTTGTGGCAAAACTGAGCTTGCAACAGATCCAGCTGCAGAACGTCTTCGACCTTTGGCTTAGGGCTTAGGGTTTAGGGTTTTAGGGTTTAGGGTTTAGGGTTTAGGGTTTTGGGTTTAGGGTTTCGGAGTCCGAGTCTAGCCATCGGAAGACATCAAGCGTGCAGGTGCTCTCATCGGTTTTTGAGGATCCTCGGAATCCCAGGTTTGAGGACACGTGCGACCAAACAGAGTGCAACAGAGCTGCGGGGTTTAGGGCTGAGGTTTTCCCTTCCCCCCCCCACCCCCCCCCCTCCCCCGTCGTGGACTTGTGAACAAGCAGCCTAAACCCTAAACCCTAAACCCTAAACCCTAAACCCTAAACCCTAAACCCTAAACCCTAAACCCTGAACCCCAAACCCTAAACCCTAAACCCTAAACCCTAAACCCTAAACCCTAAACCCTAAACCCTAAACTCCAAACCCTAAACCCTAAACCCTAAACCCTAAACCCTAAACCCTAAACCCTAAACCCTAAACCCTAAACTAAACCCTAAACCCTAAACCCTAACTTCGCATCTCCGTCTGCACTCAGGCGGCTGATCCTTCTTCTCCACGCGGCGTCCAGAGGCGAGCGTGGCGATGACGTTTCTGGACAGACTGGGGGTTCAGGCGTTTAGGGTTTTGGGTTTCGGGTTTAGGGACGCTAATTTTATTTCAGGCCTAGGGCCGTTAACTGTATAGGGTTGACCTGGGACTCTATTTACAGTTTACTAGTAACTACCCTGAATGAGTAGGTATAACCCCATCTAAAACTGCAGGTAAAGAGGGTCCCAGGGAATTTCTACCCCTAAACCCTAAACTCTAAACCCTAAACCCTGAACCCCATACCCTAAACCCTAAACCCTAAACCCTAAACCCTAAACCCTAAACCCTAAACCCTAAACCCTAAACCCTAAACCCTAAACCCTAAACCTTTCTGGCTGCCCCAACGGTCCATGTCTTCAGTTCGTCACTCGAACTTGCTTTTTTCTGGCCAAGATGCGAGATCTGCTCTTGCATCCTTGGTCTCATCAACTTGTTTAGGGTTTAGGGTTTAGGGTTTAGGGTTTAGGGTTTGGGGTTTAGGGTTTAGGGTTTAGAGTTTAGGGGACCAATCGCCTGCTCAAGGCTTCTGAGGCAAGGGCTCTTCGTACTTGTAGCCAAGTTCCTGTCCGCTGCTACCCAGCGCAGGGTTTAGGGTTTAGGGTCTGGGGTTCATTAAGGGGTATCAGGAGGGACCCCTAGAAGGGACCCCGAATCTTTATCCCGAAATAACCCGTATGTTTACCTTATGTAGTCCCTATGTACCTAAGTAGTCCCCTGAATAACCCCTAGATAACCCCTCATGTCCCCTATAAGTGTCCATTCTTTAAGGTTAAGAAGTCGCTCTCCAAAATGGCAGAGTCTGCCAAATAGCAGCACCCTAAACCCTGCAAACCCTATGAACCATGTTACAACCCTATAAAGCCTTATAAAACCCGAAAAAACCCTATAAAACCCTATAAACCCCTTTAGAAGCCCTAAAAACCAGAAAAGCCCTAAACCCGAAACCCCAATCGAATAGTCAGCGCAGGAAAAGGTCTCCTGCTACACTCCTACAACCCCACTCTAGGGTTTAGGGTTTAGGGTTTAGGGTTTAGGGCTTAGCATAATCCCAGCGCGCATGTAGTCCACAAGTTAACCCTACATGGGGGTTTAAACCCCAGATAGTAGGAGTCCCGCATATTAAGGACCCCAAGAAGGTAATCCCTAAACCCTAAACCCTAAACCCGAAACCCTTAACCCTAAACCCTAATCCCGAAACCCTAAACCCCAAATCCTAAATTCGCCAGCGCAGGAATGGTCTCCTGCAGTTCTCTCGTCGCATGGTCGCTGACCACGGAGTCTAGGAACCTGGGCTTCGTGGAATTTTGCCCCGCGGCAAAGACGCCAAGGGAATGATCTCTGGGGACAAACAAGAGTGGGGGGGGGGGGGGTTAGGGTCTAGGATTTGGGGTTTGGGGTTTGGTCGTTTGGGGTTTAGGGTTTCCGACGAAAAAGTGTGTGTGTGTGTGTGTGTGTGTGTGTTTGTAGTGGTTCCTGTCATAGGGATGTCTCGTATCTTCGGGTCTGTTAGGGTGAAAATGCCCCTCTGTCAGCCTGAGCGCCGTGTGATCTCCATGAGCGGTTGCATGCATGGCGAAGCACCCAAGGGTTTAGGTTTTAGGGTTGAGGGTTTAGGTTTTAGGGTTTAGGGTACCGACAACAACGGAACATTCATACTCTCCACTTCGGGTGGGGGCGTGCCATCCCCAACATTTTCCGCAGTAGGTCCCAACAACTTGCCCCCAACTCGACATACTTCAAGTCTGGGATTTTTGCTTCCACCTACATGGGCTATGATACCCTACAACCCCTTTAAAAGGGGCCCGTTTATAGGGCTGGTTAGGGGATGTTAAGGCCTAATACCCTAAACCCTAAGCCCTAAACCCTAAACCCATGCTTTCCAGGCGGCACGGCCATGATGAGATTGAAGATGCCGATGACGACGAAGAGAAACAATACCATGTAGACCAGCATGAATGCCTCGGGGGCGAATTATGGAATTGTGAACCCCAAAACGGTTTATGGATCACATTACCTTACTAGGAATTATAGTAGTCGGGGTATAGGACCTCAATTTTAGGGTTCAAAATTGGTCCCCGGGGTGCCTTATATCAGGGACAGGCAACAGAAGGAAAGACAGCGCTCAGGACGGCGTCATCCGGCAGCAGCTCGTGTTTTGGACCCAAACCCGAAACCCTAAACCCTAAACCCTATAGGCCCTATTTATCAAAAACCGATTAAAAGCCAAGAAGCACTCCCGTGCTTGATCCGCAAGTGTTCTTGCAGCGGCTGGCCTTCCAAACTGGCACCGTGAAAGGTGACTTCACGCTCCCCCCCCACGGTTTCGGGTTTAGGGTTTAGGGTTTGGGCTTTGGGCTTTGGGGTTTGGGTCCAAAAACCCCAGAACCTGAACCCAAAACCCTGAAGCCCCGAAACCCGAAACCCACTGCCAGCCCAACCCGCCCCTTCTTCGGTAAACCCTAAACCCTAAACCCTAAACCCTAAACCCTAAACCCTGAACCCTGAACCCTAAACCCTAAACCCTGAACCCTGAACCCTAAACCCTAAACCCTAAACCCTAAACCCTAAACCCTAAACCCTAAACCCTAAACCCTAAACCCTAAACCCTAACCCTAAACCCTACACCCTAAACCCTAACCCTAAACCCTAAACCCTAAACCCTAAACCCTAAACCCTAAACCCTAAACCCTAAACCCTAAACCCTAAACCCTAAACCCTAAACCCTGCCCTTGTGCCCAAAGGGGCCTGCCAGGTCCGTGCAGCCATCCGTGACGCAGCCTCAGATCTGCAAGCATCCGAGCTGCATCCGTGTGTGTGTCATGTGCGGGTGAAGAAGCTGAATCACTTCAGGGTTTAGGGTTTAGGGTTTAGGGTTTAGGGTTTTTTCTTCTTTCAACCCACCTCACAAGCTGCACCTGAAGTTGCACATTCAAGATCCCTCCCTAACTTCAGTGTCTTGTTCTCTCCCCTCTCTTCTTCTTCCTCTTGTTTATATTATTATTCTTATTCTTCCTCTTCTGCTTCCTCTTCTTCTTCTGCTTCTTCTGCTATGCCGTGCTTTGAGGTTTTTCTGGCAGGGGCCTGGCCACGACGGCCAAGCGGGTCTGCGGCAGTCCGAGAAGCGAGCTCCGGTTGGCGGGTGCTCAGGAGGACACGGCTCTTCCAGGCGGGGGTTTAGGGTTTAGGGTCTAGGGTTTAGGGTTCAGGGTTTAGGGTTCAGGGTTTAGGGTTTAGGGTTGAGGGGCTGTTAGGCCTCATCATCCCCATAGTCAACCCTACAAAGGGCCTTTTTAAGGGATTGTATAAGGTATAATGGCCCATCCTGGTTGTCCCCGCTCCCCAAGGGCTCGTCGGTATCACCGCCCATCTTCTGCTGTCATCCCTGCGCAGGGGCCATGCTAAGCTTCCCTGTGTCGTTCCCATTCTATCGCATTCCCTTCGGGAATCACCCCCCTCTCTCTCTCTCTCTCTCTCTCTGTCTCTCTCTCTCCCTCTCCAGCTCTCTCTCTGTGTCTCTCTCCCTCTCTCTCCAACCCTGTCCCTCTCTCGCTCTCTCCCTCTAACTCTCTCACACTCACTTCCGGCCGAAGGTGCGGAAGATTGTCAGCATGGAGGCTGAGACGGTGGCAAACTCCGGTTCCTGAGCTTTCCGGAAAATCAGCCGATTTCGGTGAGGGGTTTAGGGGTTTAGGGGTTTAGGGGTTTAGGGGTTTAGGGGTTCAGGGGTTCAGGGTTCAGGGTTCAGGGTTTAGGGTTTAGGGTTTAGGGTTTAGGGGGACACACTTCCCATGGTTCTTTCTCGGCCAGGAAAGTCTGCTTCCATCGACTGAAGGCGACGATCTTAGGCTGGAGGCCTCAAGCCCAGTTCTGCCTTGCCTCACAGCCAAGAGTTCCAGCTGTCTCAGGGGTCTAGGACACCTTATAATGCTTTTATATACTCTGGAAAGATATGTCTACGAATGTGTAAGATATGTATGAAAAAGAGTCTGCCCTCAGTACATGTTGGCTCTGTGACGTTGCCCACGTGCTCTTATTTGCTTCCAATGCTTGGGGCATTTTGCTCTGAGGCCAGGTCATCTGAGATCAGCAGTCGTGCGGAAACGCCAATAATGTAGACCTTGCATGTGGACCGAACTTTGGCAGAAAAAGCACACTCGTCAGGATCATCGCCATTCGGTTCTGTTCCACTACTCTGAGGCAGCTGGCTAGCTTTCAGCTAAACCCCTCCCCTAAACCCTAAACCCTAAACCTTAAACCCCAGTATGCAGCCAGACCTTAAACCCCAGTATGCAGCCAGGCAGCCGTGAAGAAGAGCAGAACCTGAACTGCAAAGGCTTTGGGTGTAGCTCCTCTTGCACATCAGCACCTTGTGAAACCCTCCCTGGAATTCACTTTAGGGTTTAGGGTTTAGGGTTTAGGGTTTAGGGTTTAGGGTTTAGGGTTTAGGGTTTAGGGTTACTGTATATGGGGGAATTCTGCCGAGCCTGAGCTTGAGAATGCCCACGGATCTGAAGGGGGCAAGGGGAACCAAATGGCAACGGCCCCACAGCTATGGGAGGCAAAGTGGCTATGGCCCAGAAGAGCACTCGAACGCCACTGAGCACGCCGAGGATTATGACCTTGGCACACTTAAGGAGGGGCACCCCCCCCCCCCCTAGTTATAAGTAGAGTTATAAGGACCCTACATTATAGGTTAGAAGGATCCTTAAATTAGGTTATACGTCCCTATTAGCTATAGCTAGTATAGTTAAGGGGGGCCCCTCCTTGCAGGGCTCCGCGAAAGCTTCGACTAGAGATGCTTCGCTGAGAAGCGCCGCACCAACAAACAGGGCTCACGGAGGGCGTTCTATATGAGGGCTTCAGCAAGTTTCTCATCCGACAAAGAAGCCGACCAACTTTTTTCGGCTTTTCTTGGCGTTGGCTAGCAGGGAATGAGGAACATAGGGCCCTACTTGAAGGTTCATGGTACTTACTAACCACTTATAACTGTACTTATAACCCTACTTATAATTGGGATAACCCCTATAAGGCCCTTTAGGGGTATTATAAGTAGGGTTGTAAGTACAGTTATAATTGGTTAGTAAGTCCCATGAACCTTCAAGTATATACCCGTTAAAGGACTATATGGGCTACCTCATTCCCCCATGCCCTACTAAGCAACAGCAGGTTTTCCCCCGAGCTGCGCGGAGTTCGCGGACGGCGCCGAAGCGCATGACGCGGATGATCCTCAACACGGGGGGAGCCCGGGCTCTGAGAGGGTTGGAGGGGGGGGGGGGGTAGGCTCTGAGATGCGGCACCCTAAACCCTAAGCCCTATAAGCCCTAAGCCCTAAACCCCAAACCCTGAACCCTAAACCCTAAACCCTGAACCCTAAGCCCTAAACCCCAAACCCTAAACCCTAAACCCTGAGAGATCCCAAAGCCTGGCCTGCAGACACGGGCCAGGCGGAGGATCTTGATGAGCATGATGGCGCTCTCGGCGAGCAAGGAGGCATATTCAGTGGGACCCAAGGTACAATCCTCTCTTACTTTAAGTTGAATGTTGCTATTGCTATCCAGTACGTATATAATAATAATAAGAATCATAATAATAATAATAATCAGAAGGAGAAGAATATTTCTATCATCTTAGCCACGATCATGACGTATATCTGATACCGGCGTTATTCTGTCAATAGATTCTATAAGACTGCGAATACGATCAGGAATTCATACTACTCATACGATGACTATACCAATATTACGATTGATATGGAGACAAACCCTGAAACCTAAACCCTAAAAACTAAAAACCCTAAACCATAAAAACTAAAAACCCTAAACCCTAAACCCTAAACCCCAAACCCCAAACCCCAAACCCTAAACCCTAAACCCTAAACCCTAAACCCTAAACCCTAAACCCTAGCCCTAGACCCTATAATTCCTGAACCCTAAACCCTGGTTGCTTGGGGCCCGTGCCAGGGCCGGTCCTTCGCCTTCCGCAGTGGCCCTCGTGCGCAGGGCTCTGGTTGAAGGCTGGCTTAGGGTTTAGGGTTTAGGGTTTAGGGTTTAGGGTTTAGGGTTTAGGGTTTAGGGTTTAGGGTTTAGGGTTTAGGGTTTAGGGTTTAGGGTTTAGGGTTTAGGGTTTAGGGTTTAGGGTTTAAGGTTTAGGGTTTAGGGTTTAGGGTTTAGGGTTTAGGGTTTAGGGTTTAGGGTTTAGGGTTCCGGGTTCAGGGTTTACCGCTTAAGGTCTAGGGTTTGGAGTTTAGAGGTTAGGGTTTAGGGAATGCGGTTTGCGGTTTAGGGCATCAACATACGAACATTGTTTTTGAAAGGAATGCTCCTACAATTGACATTGTTTCCTCATAGCAGGTGGCCTCGTGACCCTCTTCTGTTTGCCCGGTGGGTTTCATTGGAGCTTTGGAGAAGCTGTTGCTTTTGTAGCTTTAAAAACACTGCATGGTTGGTAAGTGGCCGTGCGTGTGTGTGTGTGTGTGTGTGTGTGTGTGTGTGTGTGTGTGTGTGTGTGTGTGTGTGTGTGTGTGTGTGTGTGTGTGTGTGTGTGTGTGTGTGGTGTGTGTGTGTGTGTGTGTGTGTGTGTGTGTGTGTGTGTGTGTGTGTGTGTGTGTGTGTGTGTGTGTGTGTGTGTGTGTGTGTGTGTGTGTGTGTGTGTGTGTGTGTGTGTGTGTGTGTGGTGTGTGGTGTGTGTGTGTGTGTGGTGTGTGTGTGTGTGTGGTTTGCGTGCGTGCGGGTGCGTGCGTGTGTTGTGCGTGTGCTGCGTGGGCGTGCGTGTGTGCGTGTGCGTGTGCGTGTGCGTGCGCGTGCGCGTGCGCGTGCGCGTGCGCGTGCGCGTGCGCGTGCGCGTGCGCGTGCGCGTGCGTGCGCGCAACTGTGCACACCAAAGGGCGCTATAGTGCCTTTTCACAAAGCGTCGTCTTCACCCTCGTATGTGCAGATGCGCTGCTGGACGATCCCGGTGATGATAAGGTCCGTGTATGCGCAGGTCAGGCAAAGCATGTCGAAGTAGTTCCAGCCTGAGAGGTTGATGACAGCGGGGCAAAAAGAGTCAGAGGTCACTGAACAGTGAGAGAAGCTCCCAGCCCCTTTTCCTGCGAACCCCACCACCCCCTCTTCTCATGGCGTGCGCCTGCATCTGGCCCTGTCAAGTAGACGCGGCAGCCCGTCCACCTCATCCTGACACGCAAAAACCGGCAAAGATGTCCGGGAGTCAAGCAGGATGCAGGAGGGAGCGAGAGGGAGGGAGAGGGAGAGGGAGCTCCAACTTGTCAAAAGCCCACCTGAGGAGAGCCTCGAAGGTGAAGATGAGGGTGAACATGAGCTCCAGCACCTCACAGGGGCGGCTCAGCTGCCCAAACTGCCTCGCCAGTAGCTGAGGAACCAAATCGCGCGCAGCCGCCCGGACCGCAAGTTCAAGCACAGAAAGCACCCGTGGCTTATGCGTTGGAGGAAGTGCGCCTGCCAGCCGGGCGCCTCAGACTTGTTGGAGGCAGGCGTGTCCGGACGTTTGGGGTGTGGTCATGCAAAGTGATGATGCTACGCACGCGGCTGTGGAGGCTCTCGTGGGCAATCACACCCCAAAACAGCCTGCGAAACCCTACCTGGGACCCTCTTTACCTACAGTTTCTGGGCTGTGCCTAATAATTCAGGGTAGTGGCCTACTAAACTGTAGGTAAATAGAGTCCTAGGCAAGTCCTCTTGGGCTCAACAACGTTCTGTCGGGCGGCATCGGGATGGTCGTCGGCGCTAATGCCGATGACCACTGCATTGGCCAGGATGACAAAGGCCGGCCTCAAGGGGGGAAGCTAGATTGGGGATTTCAAAGGGTACCCAAGCCCATATACAAACTGTTAGAATCAAAAAACACGTGTGCAATGAAATACAATAATCATCATCGAACATTATGATGATATAGTAGTAGAAGAATCTGAGGACAAGGATGACAACAGAAAGGACCGCCGCGAGCAGCGAGACTTGCTGTCGAGCAGCGCCACTTCGAGGAGGAAGGTCTTGTAGTCCAACGGGATGTTCTGCGAAGCTCTGTGCAATGTCTTCGTACAGTTTAGGGTTTAGGGTTTAAGGCTGGTTCAAAGGCATGCTCCCACGCCTCGAACCAGGAGGACGATGCCTGCGCGAGCTGCGGCCGGAGCTTCGGAACCTCCTGAGTTGGGGGTTTAGGGTTTAGGGTTTAGGGTTTAGGGTCTAGGGTTTAGGGTTTAGGGTTTATAGTTTAGGGTTTAGGGTTTAGGACTTGGGGGTACCTTCTTGCCCTAAGCCCTAAACCCTAAACCCTAAACCCACACCTCTACCACCCCCAGGGCCAAAACCAAACCACAGCTCTCTCAACCCAGCTGCGGCTTCTTCCTGCACCAGAAAGCGGAAGCCTTTCCTCAGTCACAGACAGCCCCTACATGGGCTATTATACCCTTAAAGGCCCTTTATAGGGTTCAGGGCTTAGGGTTTAGGAGTAAGGTTTAGGGTTTAGGGTTTAGGGACAGGCAGTCTCTACATGGGCCCTTTAGACCCTACAGCCCCCTAAAAGGATGGGCTGAGGGTTTAGGGTTAGGGTTGAGGATTATACCCTATAACCCGCTAAAAAAGGCTCTTGTTTTCGGGTTGATTAGGGGGATTATACTGTTATACCCTATACCCCTTCAATGGGTCCCTTGAAAACGTTGGTTAGGGGGATTCTACTGTTAGACCCTATAAGCCTGTTAACAAACCCATTTATAGGGTTGGTTAAACGATTATCCGGCCTAATAGCCCATGCTGGTCAGGGCAAAAATCTTACCTCGCAACTAGGGCGAAGCGCGAGAGTCCAAACGCCAAAGCGCAACAAGAAGACGCCCTACCATGATATACACCTCAATACCACAATGTACCCGAAACAACATACCAAATTGGCCAACTATATCCTAGACCCGAGAGTAACCTAGGCATAAACAGGGTGCGTTTTCTTGCATTCAGGGCCTAATCGCAAGGGAATCCTAAACCCTAAACCCTAAACCCTAGACCCTAGACCCTAAAAAAATGAATAAGGGCCCACACTGGGTCCTAGCGTGCCCAAAAGGTTACACCCCAACGTACCAGAACACACCACTGCAGGAAAGGCGCATACGCTCCTGTGCTGCCTTCATCGAGGGTTTAGGGTTTAGGGTTTAGGGTTTAGGGTTTAGGGTTTAGGGTTTAGGGTCTAGGGTTTAGGGTTTAGGGTTTAGGGCGCAAAGATCGAAGCTGCAATGTTTATGGAAAACGTAAGGCCCCAAACCCTAAACCCTAAACCCTAAACCCTAAACCCTAAACCCTAAACCCTAAACCCTAAACTCCAAACCTTGCACCCTAAAGCCTCCAATAACCCCAGCAGCCCTCCCAGCCTCTTTGAAGTGGGAGATGTCCCCGCACCTTGACTTCGGGGCTGAGTACCCTGGCCCAAGAATGGTTAACCTTTTGTATGTAGTAGGGTTCAATATAACTAAAAAGGTTAAAGGTTACCTACCCAGCCAGCCAGGGTTTCTTTCCGCGACGAGCACCTCAAGAACTCAAGATTTTTCCGGAGCCCTCTATGTAGACACTCACCAGAACTTGAGCCTGAAAACGCTAAACCCTAAACCCTAAACCCTAAACCCTAAACCCTAAACCCTAAACCCTAAACCCTGTAGACCCTAGACCCTAAACCCCACTCCATACATGTGGGCCCTCATGGCTTCACTTGTGCCCTGCGAGATGCATCAGCTGAGCGAAGCCGGGGAAACTGACCTGAAGCTCCTCCGATCTCAGAACTCTTGTAAGGGTTTAGGATTTTCACTTATAGGGTTTAGGGTTTAGGGTTTATTAAATTATAGATCGTTTATCTTATGAAAGAGGCTCATGAGGAGGGCTCTCTTTGGGCTCGCGCAGCGCAGCTCCGTAACCGTAGCACTGTGGACACTCTATGGAAGCGCATTGTAAGAGACTCTTGGGGTTTAGGGCTTGTAGGGTTTAGGGTTTAGGTTTTAGGGCTTGGGGCTTATAGGGTTTAGGGTTTAGGGATAGGGTTTAGGGTTTAGGGCTTGGGGCTTAGGGTTGAAGACTTTGGGGCAACAGCTGCCTGGGCAACAGAAGAGCTGTCAACGTTGCGCTGAATTGCCCGCTCCTGGACTGCCCTGACGAGTCTCTCGTTTTGCTATTTCTGGGAGGCCCAAGGCAAGGTGCGCTCGGAGTGCGGTTTAGGGTTTGGGGCTTGGGGTTCAGGGTTTGGGGTTTGGAGTTAGGGTTCAAGAAAGTAGTGTCCAAGGCCCATTTCGTGGTCATCAAGGCAAGTCCTCTTGGGCTACACCACTGGTTGAATGGACCCTTAACCCCTACAGCATAAGCCCTAAACCCTTGCCAGTCCTTGGGCGCCGCACCTCAGCTGGTGAGATGGCAGGCAAAGCAGTAACGCAGTCAGAAACGCTCCAAACGATGCGATGGCGCCTCCCTAACTAAAAAAACCCTAAACCTGAAAAAATGGCCCGAGTCACCTCCACTCCTATGCCCCCCCCCCCCCCCCTCACCCTGAGATCGTTCAAGCAGTCCCCTTCCTCACTCCCTAGGATGGCCCTTACAACCCTCTGAGCAAATATTCCTTAAAAAATGGTCCTCTTAAACCCCCCAACACGGGAAAATATGACATGTCGCAAAGGCGCAGCCGGTCCCTTTCTGTTGTACTTACGGTTGGTTAGTAGGGATCATCCCTTAGAGGGTATTTTCTAGGGGAGATAGGGTACCTCATGTCCCTCACTCCCTACGAAGCAACAGTAAGTGTATGAGGCCCAAGAGCTAGTCGTGCTCATCCGCATTGGCTGTGGCGGTGGAAGTAGTAGCTCCGGGTCTTCGGGCACCTGCGGCTGAGGAGCGGCGGAGATCAAGCCCAATAGTGTGTGTGCACACACGCGCACACACAGATATATACATTAGATAAAAATATAAATAAATAAACAAGCAAACAAATAAACAAATAACATAAGTATGTATATATGAACATATACAGATATATGTACACACCATTTTCTGTTTTACATGTATGGTGTGTATGTATACAGTGTACATATCGTACTAGATTCACAAAAGTCATCCGGAGAAAAAAACAACCATGACAACGAATAATGAGGAAAACATGACAATCTACACTGTAGAATCTACACTGCTCGGGGCTCGGACCATCTTCAGCATGGCGCGGACATCCGCCTGGAGTGGCCGTGGCATTGGTCTGCGGATAGCGGCTCTGTCGCTGAGATTCTGTGGTTCAAGCAGCTTACAGCGCCAGCACCTTGAGCCGTACCCGACAATGGCCAAACACAAACCCCCCCACTCCTAAACCCTAAACCCCAAACCCGAAACCCTAATCCCTAAACCCCATACTCCTACACCCTAAACCCTAAACCCTAATCCCGACTCCCTAAACAGCCGGGCTACTTCCAGCAGGTCCAGCTCGCATGATCCCTGCCCCTTCTTGACGACCTCGCAGAGCCTTTCCCATGTCAGCTGGCCTGCACGCAAACCGGCTTTTCATGCAGTATATGACGTCTCAATGAGGTGTCGAAGCGGCATTTCACAACTTTGAGAGAGACAACAACCAACTTGGAGCCTGATGTGGTGTCCGCGTAGAGCAAGTAGAACTTGCGGAGCACTTCTGGCAGGTCCTTGTGGCTTAAGAGGCTTAGGGCGGCTTGGGTGGTACACGCAGCGCCCCACGTCGAGCCGAAATGTCGGGCTCTTCGCGCATGTTGCCAATTGTGCCGATTAAGCTAATAATTTTTAATAGGGCTTTGGGGGATATTGTAGCGTAATTACAAAGGGACCCGTACCCTAAACCCTAAACCGTAAACCCTAAACCCTAAACCCTAAACCCCCATTAGAAATATTGCGCTGCTGCCGCGGCGCAAAGACGGGTGCTGGCACCAGGGGCACCTGCTTGCAACAAGCTGAGAGTCATGGAGCAAGCTGCTCGCAGCCTTTACATACCTCTATGTACATATATTTATGTGTGTATATATATATATATGCATCTGCATGTAAATTAGGAAATTATGCATATTATATATATATATATATATATTAGCTCGAAGAACATATAGTAGAGTTTGGTATGTTAGAGTTTGGTTTTGCTGCGCAGCTGTGCGGGAAGCGAATGAGCAGCATGTTTTGCGCATTGCCCGATTTTCATTGCTTCCTTTGGCCCTGCATACCATAACCGATACTATAACCCCGCTTAAGGCAATCTGAACCATAAACCCTTTGAGGGTTCACTTGGTCCCCACAGAGATACCAAGCAAGGCAGCGCTCTATGAACTTCATGGACACTGCAGTCCCGGCCCTTCAGTCCTGAACTGGAAGAGAGCTTAAACTTCACATGATCATCCTTAGCAGGGATTATTGTAGCCCCCCCCCCCCCCCCCCCCCCCCAAACCCTAAAACCCTAAACCCTAAACTATGAAGTATGAAGGACTAGTATAAGGGGGAGCATTTCAACACTGTGGTGTGTGGGGTGCTTCGGCTGGTCTGGGCTGTGGGGCAGCTCAGACGCCTCAAGAAAACCCTGAACCAAAAAAAAAGCAACAGGTTTGTTACGCTAAACCCTAAACCCGGACCCTAAACCCTAAGCCCCTAAAACCCTAAACCACTGGGCTGCCAAGACTTCCCCAACGCTCCAGAGGACATGATGGCCAGTGCATCCAAGCCGCGTGCTCCAGACTTTCCTATGCCAGTTCAGGGTTTAGGGTTTAGGGTTTAGGGTCTAGGGTTTAGGGTGGTGCTGGTCAAACCCTCAGGGTCCCCAATAGCCCATTTAGGGTTGAGGGTTTAGGGTCTAGGGTTTCGGGCTACTTGCATGCTTGAGATCTCCGAAGTAGGTATTACTTGTATCCTTGGAGCCCCGGGGAAACGCCCGAAAAGAGTCGAGGGGGAGGGCACAGTTTTCTGGGCCCGCATGCGCTGATTTGCATACTGTAGCTTGTCCCGTCCCTCACATTGCAAACCTGTGCACAGTTCTCAAGTAACAACCCCCAAACCTTACAACCCAAAGACCCGACAACCCTAAAACCCTACAACCCTCCAACCCTAAAACCCTGCGACCCTAAAACCCCGAAACCCTAAAACCCTATAACACACAAACCCTACAACTGCAACCCTGAACCCTAAATCCTAACCCTATATCCTAAACCCAGCATTTTAACAACAGGAATTTACACAGCAGATTGTAAACCCTGAGCCCTAAACTCCGAACCCGAAACCCTACAACCCAGCATTTTAACAACAGGAATTTACACAGCAGATTGTAAACCCTAAACCCGAAACCCCTACAACCCAGCATTTTTAACAACCGGAAAACTTAGTTGCGCGTTAACACCCGAATAAAAGTTTAACTTCTAGCTCCCAGAATATGAAGTTAGAGGAACCGCAAAACTCATAAACTGCTAGTTGTAGTGAAGTCCTAACTGGAAATGTACATCAGATTGCAAACCCTAAACCCTGAGACTCCGCCTCGCCCACCGAGGCATCCAGGGTCTCCAGCGCGAGGGACTGGAGAAGGAAGAAGAGGGTTATGGGGGGTTTAGGGTTTAAGGGTTTAAGGGTTTAAGGGTTTGGGGTTTGGGGTTTGGGGTTTGGGGTTTGGGGTTTGGGGTTTGGGGTTTAGGGTTGTAGTTTTAGGGTTTAGGGTTGTAGGGTTACGGAGGGTTTAGGGTTTAGGGCTTGGGGTTTATGGTTTGGGGTTATGGGGTTTGGGGTTTAGGGCTTGGTCCTCGCATGCTGAATCAAGATGCGAAGAAGCATCAAGAACGGAATAAAGTAGCTACCAACCCATGACGCACCAGCAGCATGGCGAATCCGGATTCGCCCGGGCGCCTACTATATCCCCTGAAACACATCTGCCTTATATATATATACATATATATGAACACATATGCCTTATGTATGTACGTATATATATATATATATATACAGATCTATCTATTCATTTATACTCGTTTCAGGATCATTTGAGGGACTCGAAACATATAGAAGTAGCAACACATACTGGCAAAAATGCAGGGGACCTTTTTGTATGTGAAACCCTAAACCCTAGACCCGAAACCCGAAACCCTAAACCCGAAACCCTAATCCCTAAACCCGAAACCCGAAACCCTTAACCCTAAACCCTAAACCCTAAACCCTAAACCCTAAACCCTAAACCGTGTCCGCTCGGCCTCCTCTTCGTGCGCCTTCTGGGGCTCTTGGGCTTCGGCAGGCTCCGCCACCTTACAGGGCCTCGGAACAGAGCTCAGGTTGCGCGAGAGGAGGTAGGGTTTAGGGTTTAGGGTTTAGGGTTTGGGGTTTGGGGTTTAGGGTTTAGGGTTTAGGGTTTAGGGTTTAGGGTTTAGGGTTTAGGGTGTAGGGTTTAGGGTGTAGGGTTTAGGGTTTCGGGTTTGGGGTTTAGGGTTTAGGGTTAGGGTTTAGGGTCTAGGGCCGTCTAGGGTCTATAGGGTCTAGGGTCTAGGGCTTAGGATACTTTGGGCTGAATTTGTCCGCACATCTGCAGGCAAGCGGCAGCTGGCGTCCTCACAGGAGGAGATAATCTCGCGAGCGCGCGCGCGCGTGATCGCGCACACAAAAACCCTGGGCTGCCATGAGGATTTCCTGAAGGTTGCAATTTCATGAAGAACCTTGGGAACCCTAAACCCTAAACCCTAAACCCTAAACCCTAAACCCTAAACCCTAAACCCTAAACCCTAAACCCTAAACCCTAAAGTGAACCCCCAAAATCGGGATCGCACACCCCTTTTCCTACGCTACGACAATCCCTACTAAAGGTGCAAGGGCCATAAACCCGATTAGGGATCAGTTTATGGCCCGATGAGGGATCAGACTTCCACCCTAAACCCTAATCCCCGAAACTCAAAATCCTAGACCCTAATCCCCTAACCCCTAAACCCTAAATCCAAAAACCCTAAACCCTATATCCTAAACCCTAATCCCCTAATCACTAAACCCTAAATCCTAAACCCTACACCCTAAATCCTAAACCTTACACCCTAACCCCTAAACCCTAATCCCCTAACCACTAAACCCTAAAACCTTAATCCCTAGCCCCTAAACCCTAAATCCTAAACCCTAAACCCTAAGCCTTAAACCCTAACCCCTAAATCCTAATCCCTAAATCCTTAACCCTAAACCCTAATCCCAAACGTCTAAACCCTTGTCCTGGAGAGGCTCGGGGTAGTCCGGCGGAAGGCTCGGCGTCCGCCGGGCTGAGCCTGGTCTCGGTCCTGCCCCAAAAAGCCCCCTAATAGGGTTTGGGGCTTGGGGTTAGGGTTTAGGGTTTAGGGTTTAGGGTTTAGGGTTTAGGGTTTAGGGTTTAGGGTTTAGGGTTTAGGGTTTAGGGTTTAGGGTTTAGAGTCTAGAGTTTAGGGTTTAGGGTTTAGGGTTTAGGGAGACCCACAGAGAGTCAACAGAGTGCCCCATACCCCCATTCTAGTCTCAAAAGGGGGTTTTGTCAGACCCCGCAAACATGGGCCTCACTCAAGTAAAGCCACCTTAGGGACCAAATGAACCCTAAACGAGCTTATGGTCCATGTACCTTCATAGGATATATAGCCCCAATTTTTACTGGCTGGTTCTTAGTAGGGAAGGAGGGAATGAGGTACCTATATAATCCCTTAAAGGGTATTTATACCCTCATTCCCTACCAAGAATGAAGGGGTTTTAGCTTCATTTGGTCGCCAAGGAATTGCATGACCCCGAGCTCTTCCCCTCTTCTTTCTGCCGAGCGTCATCTCGGCCTCCAACGCGGGATGCTCCTCGATCGGTGCCTTTCTGAGAGAGAGTGTGCCGGGCCAGATCTCTGAAGAGAAGAACCCTAAACCCGAAACCCGAAACCCTAAACCCCTAAACCCTAAACCCGAAACCCTAAACCCTAAACCCGAAACCCTAAACCCCAAAACCCTAAACCCTAAACCCTAAACCCGAAACCCTAAACCCTAAACCCCTAAGAGCCCTCTGAGACACCTTAACCCCCCAAAAAATGGAAATAGGGCAGCATGATAGGGGCCCCCAAAAACCGAATAAACAGAAGGATTCGACAAACATTTCTTCCAAAGTCCCCCTTATTTGGCGCTTATGTGTCTGTGGGCGGCCCCCTTTCTTCCCCCTCCCTCCCGAAGCCTAAACCCTAAACCCTAAACCCTAAACCCTAAACCCTAAACCCTAAACCCTAAACCCTAAACCCTAAACCCTAAACCCTAAACCCTAAACCCTAAACCCCTTTGAGGGTTTCTATTTCGTCCCCCCCCCCACAACGAAAGTGCCAAGCAGCTCCGCGCAGCACCTCGAACTCCGCCACCAGCTGCACCAGGAGCCGGTGGAACCGCGCCTCGCCCTTGAAGTGGGAGAAGTTGAGGGGGGTTTAGGGTTCAGGGCTTAGGGTTTAGGATTTGGGGTTTAGGGTTTAGGGCATTTAGGGTTTAGGGTTTAGGGTGTTTAGGGTTTAGGGTGCAGGGTATTTAGGGTTTAGGATATTTAGGGTTTAGGGTTTAGGGTTTGCCCTAAACCCGAAATGCCCGAAATACCCTAAGCAACCCGTAAGATACCCCAAGTTCCATCAACCCGAAACCTGAAGCCCTAACCGAGGGCTCCGGTCCCCCTTTTTCAGATGCTTCGGCTCAGGGAGTGATCCGGCGAGCCTTTCTAGGGTTTAGGGTTTAGGGTTTAGGGTTTAGGGTTTAGGGTTTAGGGTTTAGGGTTTAGAGGTGCTACTTCTTGGCCTTAAGAACCCCAACAAATTTCGGGATAAGGTCTCTTGCAGAGATGCTGGCCACATGTCGCCTTGTTGACATAATTTTCCTTACGGGCTTCTATGGAACGCAGGCTTGGGACACACGCCCCTAACCCTAAACCCTAAACCCTGAACCCTAAACCCTAAACCCTAAACCCTAAACCCTAAACCCAATCTGCCAAAAACAGCAGCACCACCTCGCTCTGAGCTTGTGATTTCATGGGGGGGTGGGAGGGCCCGCGCCTCGGCCCGGCTGAGCGCCGCCATGTCGGCCGATGGCGGGTGCTCCCGAAACACCCTAAGATGCCTTCGCCCTTGGGGACTTAAATGAACCCCTACAATTGGGGCCACATACCCTATGGGCTCATTGCGTCTTCAAGGTCAACTTGCCCCCAACCACAAAAACTCGGGCCAAAGAGTTTACGCCCCTTGGCGACAGGACTCCGATGGAATTCTGGATCCCTGAACTTCCCAAACCCTGGTGGGAGTGTAGGATGGTGCTTCCTGGGGTTTGGGGGGCAGGGCGGGGCATCCTCGGCGTGATGGGAGAGGGAGGCGCTTCCCTTGAGATGGGCGGCAGGTCAGGTGATGGCTCTTGGACACTCCGAGCTCCAAAAACTTACTGTGGGCTAGTAGGGAATGAGGTACCCTGTATAATCCCTTAAGGAGTATATATAGGGGGATATAGTGTACCTCATTCCCTCATTCACTACTAAGCAACACTACAAAAAGAGACAAGGTGTACCAACCATGACAGGACCTGCGTTTTTCATACCATGACATGCTTCCACCATGCAATGGCGTGGGCAAACCTTGGGAAGGAACTGTGAAAATGGTTTCGGGTTCACAATACCTCAATATAGGAGTTATAGTAGTACAAGGTGCATGACCCCCAATGGCCCAACTTTAGGGGTTCATAATCGGTCCCCACCAAAAGAGGGCTGGTGCTCTCGCTGCTACGACAAGAACTCTGAGAGCCCTGGGCGCAGTCCCTGGCCTGAGCTCCGTCGGCTCGCTTGCGCTGGCGTCAACTTGAAGCCACTTACGCGCTGAGTACCCGGGCCGCCCAAAAAAGCTTCTGGTAGGAGTGTTTATCCCCCAAAAGGTTGAAAGGTTCTCTACTCAGCTACTAAGAGCCCACTAAAGTGCTGGTCTTGGTGAGGTTCTCTCTGCTGAGCTTCCTGGGCGAACTAGAATCTGTGACCGAACTGAACGCGTGCGCTCTCTCCGATGGCAACCTCTAGCGACTATGAAACGACTGCAGTTGACAGGAGTGTGTTTCTATGTGCCTGACGCTGTCGTGGTCAAGGTGGAATGCATTCAGTCGCATGCCTTATCTGCTTGAGCAGCTATCAGCGGAGCACGTGCGACGTACAACGAAGCTGGGCTGCAAAGTGCAGAATCTTCCCTTGGGGACGAAATGAACCCAAAAATTTCGGGTCATCTACCCTTTTCTACTACAATTCCTCTTAAGGCTTTTGAGCCATAAACCCTTTTAGGGTTCATTTCGTCCCCACTGATTCACAGGGTCCGCACACCGTCACTTCTCCAATGGGCAGAGCTGGGAAACGCAGGGTCACAGGGTCTGCAGCCAAAGCCGCCCGCTTCTTTTGCGAGGTTCATCTCGCATACATCAAGTGTTTTCACACAAGGGTGCTGCTTTCGTCACTACGCGACATGCAGCACAAACTCGGGATAAACGGCATCCCCACTGAAAACGATATACTCGTCATGGACTTGTACCGCGTTCTGCCGCCGAGTGTAACCTGCTTGTGCCTTGGCCGAATGAGCAGGCGGCCTTGCAAAGAATCGCGCTCCACATTCCGAAGGCAACACCTCCACCTTACCCAGAACTACCCTGCACACTAGGATGCAGCCGCCATCCCCGGCATATTGAAATGCCTTGCAGCTGTTGACCGTGAAGTACAGCCCTTGGCCATATGACTGCGAGCCATGCAGCGAAAACTTGGAGTGCAGGCCTTCCTTGCGTATCTCTGCGAGATTCCTCGCCGCCGTACCGTGCAGAAGGTAAACAGTGTTTGACACGCTGGACAAGCCGTTCTTACTGGCTAGTCGCTCCAGCCAGGGATGCATGCCATAGACAGGTGAAGCGTGATTTTGCCTTCGCCGTCGAAGATCATCTGCCACGCTAGCTTCATACAGCTTGAACTTCTCGAAAACCTTCATGTTCTCGATCCTTTGCATCCTGGAGATCTGAAGCGTGCGATCTGCATCGAGCGAGCACTCACAGTGGCAATCGTCTCGAGTATCCCACAACCTAGACTCTTGGAGCATCTCCTCTGCTCTCTGGTGATTGAAGCCTCCAACCTTGTAATCCACGAGAAGTGGAAGCTCGTCTTCCCTTGATTCGAAATATCTGGGCACCTCGACGACCACTAGTTGCCGCCGATCTTGCATGGCCGCCACATGGTCCCCATCAGCCAAGATGCCCACTTTTCTTAGGGCCGCAGCAATGGCACGCTTAGCCTCAGGTTTGATGGTACCAGAGGCTCCGATGGACTGCAGGGATGCTGTGACGCCCCCGAGCTCCATGGAAGGCACGCCACCACCGAAAGCTCTAGCCTCTCTGCTCATTCCCATCGAAGCCCGTGACCCTTTCTGTATGCCTCCAGGTGCATATCCCAAATGATGGGCAATTTCTGGTGCACGGGACATTAACTGTAGACACGAGATGCGATCAACGTTCAGCGCCTTGGCATGTAGCACGACGACGTCTTCCATGGGTGTGATACGTATCCGCAGAACAACAAGGACTCTCGCAAGGTGCTGTGCCCTTGGCTAAACAGCTGCAATGGAGTACGACATTCGGCAGTTCAAGCTAGATTTGCCAGCTTCGCGAAGCACAGCGTCTGGTAATTGAGGAGAAGAGAAGTTAGAGTTCTCAACCCGAAGAACTTCCCAGAATGAAACTCTGCGCCTTTCCTCAACCAGGTTTTTGGCTTTGCTGTGCTTGGTACTTTTGAAGCAAGAGCGGGGTCTCGCACATCCCTTGTTGAGGCTCAGAAAGTCACGGAGTAGATGTACTTGTCCAGCGGAACCTGCTCCGGAGCAGAGGCCCTTGTGGACTAGTTGCCTTGGATGAATGTCCACCTGAAAGACTACATGAACCCCAAAACTGGGATCATGGACCCTATAGTATACTACAACCCCCTATTAAGACACATGAACCATATCAACGGTTGTAAGGCTCGGACCCATGTATGAACCATAAACGCCCTTCATTAAAATGGGTCCTGCAATAGGGCAGATGAAAGAGCTGTCAGAGCCCTCAGCGGCCTCCGTACCGTTCGTGGCCCAGTCGTAGGGAATCCACTGCAAGCGGATGGGCCTCGGGGGGGGGGGGGGGGGAAGTGTGCCTCCACGGGCTTTCCGAAAATTGGGGCTACCTTTTTTGCGGGGGTTCCCTTGAAGGGGATTCTATTCTATTCTTGGGGTAGAAAAGGAGTACCCGTATTTTGGGAAACCCCACATGCCACCACTAGGCAAAAGATTTCTAGCGCCCACTCTCAAGCGCTTGAATGAAAACTCCCTCACGCCCTAAACCCTCTAACCCTAAGTGGCAAGGACCTTTATGTTCTATTTGGCGCAGGGCTCTGTTTACCTTTATCCCATACTTAAATCGATACATATATATGTATATATACATACTTATGTACCATTTGGCTTTTGCTCTTGGTTACCAAATAATTTGCATATACCTTTACTTGACATGTCCGTTATCATACTTCAGAGCTTTCGTTTTCTCTCCGTGCACGATTGCCCAGGCCGAGATACCAGACATACCGCCCATAAAAGAAAAGAAGAGAGAAAGAGAGAAAGAGAGAGAGAGAGAGAGGGAAAGAGAGCGAGAGAGGGGGAGAGAGAGAGAGAGAGAGAGAGAAAGAGAGAGAGAGAGAGAGGGAGAGAGCGAGAGCGAGAGCGAGAGAGACAGAGAGCGAGAGAGAGAGAGAGAGAGAGAGAGAGACAGAGAGAGACAGAGAGAGACAGAGAGATAGAATGAGCGTGAGAGTGACAATGAGAGTGAGAGGGGCACAGAAAGAAAGAGAAAGAGAAAGAGAAAGAGAAAGAGAAAGAGAAAGAGAAAAATAAAGAGAAAAGAGAAAGAGGAAAGGGAAACATAAAGAGAAAGAGCGAGAGAGAGACAGAGAGAGAGAGAGAGAGAGAGAGAGACAGAGAGAGAGAGAGAGAGAGAGAGAGAGAGAGAGGGAGGGAGGGAGAGGGTGAGAGGTGAAAAGAAAGAACGTATGCCTAAGCTGAATGAAAAAGAAGAAGTCCCTTTTTCCTCTGCGTTCCCACTTATCGCTTCCATTCCTATTCTTCTCTTAGTGTAGGGCATGGCACGAGGGAGGGGGTGAAAGCGGATGAGTGAAAGCGGCATAGGCGGGGCGAAATCGTCCTTTCGCTACTTTCTTCGCCCTTCTTTTGCTTTCTCATTTGAGAAGGGTGCGGAAAGGAGGGAAGGGTAGGGCGGAAAGGAGGGAAGGGTAGGGCGTGGAATGATGCGAGGGAAGGCAAAAGGGGACAAGAGAAAGTGAAAGTGTGAGAGAGAGAGACAGAAGAACAAAAATCGCGCGAGAAAGAGAACATGGGAGACGAGGAAGGCTTCAGCAGAGAAAGCGAGAGAGCCACGAGTATGGCCCTATCCCATCCCAGTGTTACTGTATCTCAGGGGCCTCCGGGCCTCGCGGAGCCTGTAGGGGGCCTGCAGGGGCATCCAGAATTTTCTGGAAGCAACGGGCGTCCAACCCTTCCCCAGCCTGCCATGTGACATTGTGTCCTCCTCCCCTCCTGTTCCCTTCCTCACCCCCCTTCCCATACCCTTAAAAGACAAGAAAAGGAACGAAGAGAGCGAGAGAGTCTTTCATTCTTGCTCTTCCTGCTTCCACTTCCTCCTCAGTAAGAAACAAACAGATAAAGACAGGAGGAGGGGAAAGCCAACAGGCAGCAAAAGGCTGTTTTTTGTACTGACTTCCTCCTTCATTCACTTCATTGCTTCTCTCTTCTTCTCTATGTTTCTCTGTTTCTCGCTCTGTCTCCCTTCTCCGTCTGCGCTTATTCTTTCTGTATATTTATAGTTTCCCCATTCTTCTCACCTACATCCGTCCTTATGAACGTTTCGTTGCAGGTGTGCTCCTCACTGCCTATTTCTAAAGCCCTTTGCCATACGTCTGTTTCTCAGGAGCCTACAGGGGTTTCCAATGAGAGGCTTTCCAGAGAGAGCTTCAAATCGGGAAGAGGGGCGAGAGAGGAAGACGCTTTCTACCCCTTTCGAATTTAAGAACAAAAAAAGAGTAAGGTAGACGGAACAAGGAGAACCCCTCTTTCTTTCTTGTCGTTCCCGTCTCCTCTCTTATCCTTGACCTACGTCTTGGAGGGGCTAGGAGAAATGGGGCACGGGATGGGGAGGAGCAAGCGGGAGGAGAATGAAGAGGAGAAGAGACAGGAAGGGGAGAGCGGGCGAGAGAGAGGGAGAGAGACTTTGAGAATGATACGATAAAAAAACGCAACAAGCGAAAATGAATGGTGGACAGAAAGGGAGTGGAGAAAGGGACGGTCTGAGTCTTTGGGGTCACTCTGAAAACAGCTTGGAGAGGACAGCTGCTTCTCTCTCCTTTTTTCTGTTTCTCTCTCTCTTGCTCCGCGTCTGTCGTTTCTGTCAGTGATTTACACTCCTTTTCAATATCCGCCAGGGCCTGCAGTTTTCGCAGGGGGCTGCACCGAGGGGTTCCCTAAAAGGGCCTCCCAGGGGTTTGAGAGAAGATGGGACTGTGAGGAAGGCCCTGTCCTCCCATTTCCAAGAAGAGAACATTCATTTGCGTCGCTTTTATTATATTATTATTCTCTTCACAGTGTTCTTTCATCCTCGGTTTCGTTCATTTAATATTTAATTTCACGCGATCGCTTATTTCATGCGCTCACTTGAAAATTTAATATTAAATTCTCTTCATATTATATTATTCCTCTCTTGTCAGTACCTTCACTCTTCCTTCTCATCCTTGACGTTCTGCTTCCATTTCCCTCTTGAAGGAGAACTCCTGCTCCTCTCTTGTCAGTACCTTTGTTCTTTCATTCACTGTTGAATGGCGCGTAAAACAAAACGGGAGGAGCGGGGAGGAAAGAGGAAAGAGCAAGAAGGAAGCGGGGAAGAGAAAGGAAGGAAGGAAGGAAGGCAGGAAGGAAGGAAGGAAGGAAGGAGGGAGAGAGGGTCAGAAAGAGAGAGAGAGGAAAAAAAAAAAGACAGGAAAGAGAGAGAGGGAGAGAGAGAGAGAGAGAGAGAGAGAGAGAGAGAGAGAGAGAGAGAGAGAGAAAGAGAGAGAAAGAGAAAGAGAAAGAGAAAGAGAAAGAGAAAGAGAAAGAGAGGGAGAGAGAAACGATGAATAAAAGAAACACGCCGACCTATTTAACGTGTTTTGATTCTTTTAGAGGCTCCATAATGTAAACATTTTGAATATTTCAATTCAGCTGTTTATTTGTTATTTGGAAGGCTCAAGATATCAACATTTCGTAGAACACTTTAACTGAACGATGTAAACGGTTTCAGTTATGACATTACTTCAAACTGTTCAGTTTAGCGTGGAGACCTAAGACATCAAACAATGATATTTTTTACATCATGATATTCCTGCAGCCTGTTAAATATTTCAAACGATTGAAAAGTAAGAATTCAACAAAGTTAACGAACGCTTTTGTTTTGCAAACCTTCATGTGCCATCATTTTTAACGAAGGTCCGATTTGAAGCCTGATATGTCCTCAACATGTCAAAAGCGAAAAGCGTTTTTCCCTCAACCTGGTGCGCCTGTAACGTCAAACGTCAGTTTTTCTGTAAACCCTAGTGTGTCCTCAACCTCAACAACGAAAGGGTTCTTGTACACCTTGGTGTGCCCTCATCCTCAAAAACAGCCTTAAGACCAACAAGTTTTTGACCCCTCGAGGGGCCCAGCCTTAAGAAAAAAAAACTGTTTGACCCCTCGAGGGGCCCAGCCTTAAAACCCAGAACGTTTTGACCCATCGAAGGGCCCAGCCTTAAGACCAACAACTGTTTGACCCATCGAGGGGCCCAGCCTAAGACCAAAAACTTTCCGTAAGACCAAATACTCTTTGACGCCTTGGGGGGGCCCAGCCTTAAGACCCCGAACGTTTTGACCCTTGGAGGGGCCCAGCCGTAAGACCAAGAACTTTTTGACCCCTCGAGGGGCCCAGCCTTAAGACCAAGAACGCTTTGACCCCTCGAAGGGCCCACCCTTAAGACCAAAAACTTTTTGACCCCTCGAGGGGCCCAGCCTGAAGACCAAAAACTTTTTGACCCCTCGAGGGGCCCAGTCCTAAGACCCCAGGGGCCCAGCCTTAAGACTAACAACTTTTTGCCTTAAGACCAAATACTCTTGACCTCTCGAGGCTCTAGGGGCCGAGCCTTAAGACGAAGAAGTTGTTTGACCCCTCGAGGGGCCCAGCCTTAAGACCAAAAACTGTTTGACCCCTCGAGAAGCCCAGCCTTAAAACCCAGAACGCTTTCACCCCTCGAAGGGCCCAGCCTTAAGACCAACAACTGTTTGACCCCTCGATGGGGCCCAGCCTTAAGACCAAGAACTTTTGGACCCCTCGAGGGGCCCAGCCTTAAGACCAAGAACTTTCGACCTCTCGAGGGGCCCAGCCTTAAAACCCAGAACGCTTTGACCCCTCGAAGGGCCCAGCCTCAAGACCAACAACTTTTTGACCCCTCGAGGGGCCCAGCCTTAAAAACCAGAACGCTTTGACCCCTCGAGGGGCCCTGCCTTAAGACCCCAGGGGCCCAGCCTTAAGACCAAAAACTTGTTGCCTTAAGACCAAATACTCTTTGACCCCTCGAGGGGCCCAGCCTTAAGACGAAGAAGATGTTTGACCCCTCGAGGGGCCCAGCCTTAAGACCAAGAACGCTTTGACCCCTCGAGGGGCCCAGCCTTAAAACCCAGAACGCTTTGACCCCTCGAAGGGCCCAGCCTTAAGACCAACAGCTGTTTGACCCCTCCAGAACCCAGCCTTAAGACCAAACATTTTTGACCCCTCGAGGGGCCCAGCCTTAAGACCAAGTACTTTTTGACCTCTCGAGGGGCCCAGCCTTCAGACCCAGAACGTTTTGACCCCTCGACGCTGGCAAGAGCAATAACTCAAACATTCCTATCGCAGACGTACGCTTGCACAATTTGCTTAAAACACCAAATTAATCACAACGGAAAGGTTTTCTGTAAACCCTGGCGTGCCCGTTACTTTAAAGCGAAGTTTTTTGCAAACCCTAGCAAAGGTCATTGGTAAACCATAGGGTGCCCTCAACTTCAAAAACGAAAGATCCATTCAAGTACTAAAAGCCGTAAAATCCTTAAACTTTAGAAAATACTCAGCAGAGAAGAAGGCAAGGATTTTTCCATGATAAAAGGGGTCCCGGGGTCTCAGGGTTTAGGGGGTAGCCACTTAGGCGCTTAGGAGCTTAGGAGCTTAGGGTTTAGGGTTTAGGGGTTAGTGTTTAGGCGCTCAGGAGCTTAAGAGGTTTAGGGTTTAGGGTTTAAGGGATTAGGGGGTAGGCGCCTAGGCGCTTAGGAGCTTAGGAGCCTAGGTTTTAGGGTTTAAGGTTTAAGGGTTTTGGGGGTAGGCGCTCAGGAGCTTAGGAGTTTATGGTTTAGGGTTGAGGGTTGAAGGGTTTAGGGGGGGCAGGCGCTTAGACGCTTAGGAGCTTAGGAGCTTAGGGTTTAGGGTTTAAGGGTTTAGGTTTTGAGGATTTAGGGGGTACGCGCTTCGGAGCTTACGCGCTTAGGAGCTTAAGGTTTTAGGGGGCAGGCGCCTAGGCGCTTAGGAGCTTAGGAGCTTAGGGTTTAGGGTGTAAGGTTTAAGGGTCTATGGGGTAGGCGCTTAGGCGCTGAGGAGCTTAAGAGCTTAGGAGTTTATGGTTTTGGTTTAGGGTAGTTTGAGGATTTAGGGGGTAGGCGCTTTGGAGCTTAGGCGCTTAGGAGCTTAGGAGCTTAGGGTTTAGGGTTTAAGGGTTTCGGGTTACAGGATTTAGGGGGTAGACGCTTAGGAGTTTAGGCGCTTAGGAGCTGAGGACCTTAGGAATTAGGGTTTGAGGGTTTCAGTTTGAGGGGTAGGCGCTTAGGCGCCCAGGCGCTTAGAAGCTTAGGAGCTTAGGGTTTAGGTTTTCCTTAAATTCCTAAATTAGATGATTAAACTTCTTTGGGCGGCTCTTTTTTAAATCTTTTGGATTCCTTAAATTCCTTAAAATCCTTAAAAACCCTTAAAGTTTTCCAAACACTTTAAGGATTTTAAGGATTTTAAAGGTTTTAAGGATTTTAAAAGATTTTAAAAGGTGGCCCGGTGCCCCTAGGCCTCCAGGACCCCTTTAAAATCTTTAAAATCCATAAAATTTTTGGAAAGGGATTTTCCAAAAACTTTAAGGATGTTAAGTATTTTGAAGTTAAATAATTTCGGGCCTCCAGAAGGTCGCGGCTCGATTTGGCCAAATTTTGCCGGGCAGGCTCCGGGCAAAATTTGGCCAAATCGGGTTGCTCTTCGTATGCGATGAGAAATGCGCGGCTCGATTTGGCCAAATTTTGCCGGACAGGCTCCGGGCCAAATTTTGCCCGGAGCCTGCCCGGCAAAATTTGGCCAAATCGAGCCGCGCCTTTCTGGAGGCCCATTTAAAATCCTTAAAATCCTTAAAATTTTTGGAAATGGATTTTCCAAAAACTTTAAGGATTTTAAGGATTTTAAAGGTTTTAAAAAGGCCTTAAAACCCTTAAAATCCTTAAAGTTTTAGGAAATGGATTTTCCAAAAACTTTAAGGGTTTTAAAGATTTTAAAGGTTTTAAAGATTTTAAAAGGTGGCCCGGGGCTCCTGGGCCTCCGGGACCCCTTTAAAATCTTTAAAATCCTTAAAATCCTTAAAATCCTTAAAATTTTTGGAAATGGATTTTCCAAAAACTTTAAGGATTTTAAGGATTTTAAAGGTTTTAAAAAGGCCTTAAAACCCTTAAAATCCTTAAAGTTTTAGGAAATGGATTTTCCAAAAACTTTAAGGATTTTAAGGATTTTAAAGGTTTTAAAGATTTTAAAAGGTGGCCCGGGGCTCCTGGGCCTCCGGGACCCCTTTAAAATCTTTAAAGTCCTTAAAATCCTTAAAATCTTTTTGGAAGTGGATTTTCCAAAAACTTTAAGGATTTTAAGGATTTTAAAGGTTTTAAAAAGGCCTTAAAACCCTTAAAATCCTTAAAGTTTTAGGAAATGGATTTTCCAAAAACTTTAAGGATTTTAAAGATTTTAAAGGTTTTAAAGATTTTAAAAGGTGGCCCGGGGCTCCTGGGCCTCCGGGACCCCTTTAAAATCTTTAAAATCCTTAAAATCCTTAAAATCCTTAAAATCCAAAAACTTTCAGGGTTTTAAAGATTTTAAAGGTTTTAAAGATTTTAAAAGGTGGCCCGGGGCTCCTGGGCCTCCGGGACCCCTTTAAAATCTTTAAAATCCTTAAAATCCTTAAAATTTTTGGAACTGGATTTTCCAAAAACTTTAAGGATTTTAAGGATTTTAAAGGTTTTAAAAAGGCCTTAAAACCCTTAAAATCCTTAAAGTTTTAGGAAATGGATTTTCCAAAAACTTTAAGGGTTTTAAAGATTTTAAAGGCTTTAAAGATTTTAAAAGGTGGCCCGGGGCTCCTGGGCCTCCGGGACCCCTTTAAATCTTTAAAATCCGTAAAATCCGTAAAATCCTTAAAATCCTTAAAATTTTTGGAAATGGATTTTCCAAAAACTTTAAGGATTTTAAGGATTTTAAAGGTTTTAAAAAGGCCTTAAAACCCTTAAAATCCTTAAAGTTTTAGGAAATGGATTTTCCAAAAACTTTAAGGATTTTAAAGATTTTAAAGGTTTTAAAGATTTTAAAAGGTGGCCCGGGGCTCCTGGGCCTCCGGGACCCCTTTAAAATCTTTAGAATCCTTAAAATCCTTAAAATCCTTAAAGTTTTTGGAAGTGGATTTTCCAAAAACTTTAAGGATTTTAAGGATTTTAAAGGTTTTAAAAAGGCCTTAAAACCCTTAAAACCCTTAAAGTTTTAGGAAATGTATTTTCCAAAAACTTTAAGGATTTTAAAGATTTTAAAGGTTTTAAAGATTTTAAAAGGTGGCCCGGGGCTCCTGGGCCTCCGGGACCCCTTTAAAATCTTTAAAATCCTTAAAATCCTTAAAATCCTTAAAATCCTTAAAATTTTTGGAAATGGATTTTCCAAAAACTTTAAGGATTTTAAGGATTTTAAAGGTTTTAAAAAGGCCTTAAAACCCTTAAAATCCTTAAAGTTTTAGGAAATGGATTTTCCAAAAACTTTAAGGGTTTTAAAGATTTTAAAGGTTTTAAAGATTTTAAAAGGTGGCCCGGGGCCCCTGGGCCTCCGGGACCCCTTTAAAATCTTTAAAATCCTTAAAATCCTTAAAATTTTTGGAAATGGATTTTCCAAAAACTTTAAGGATTTTAAGGATTTTAAAGGTTTTAAAAAGGCCTTAAAACCCTTAAAATCCTTAAAATTTTTGGAAATGGATTTTCCAAAAACTTTAAGGATTTTAAGGGTTTTAAAGATTTTAAAAAGGCCTTAAAACCCTTAAAATCCTTAAAGTTTTAGGAAATGGATTTTCCAAAAACTTTAAGGGTTTTAAGGATTTTAAAGCCTTTTTAAAATCTTTAAAATCCTTAAAATCCTTAAAATCCTGAAAAGTTAGTCAGGCAGAGAGCAAAGCCAAATAGAGCAGAAAGGTCCTACGTACCTAACCCTAAACCCGAAACCCTACTCCCAAACTTTGCTCTCAAAGCATTCAGCTCCCGACGCGCCCTCCACTGCTTTCGAAAGCAGCGGACGCTGGTCTTCGCTGGCAAAGGGCAGCAGCCAGCGCCTCAGAGTAAAACTTTCGGGAGGTTCCAGCTCCATTCAGGTGTTCCCTGTCCATCTTGCGGGCATCTTCCCAAAGACATACATACAAATACAAAAGTATACATATATATATATATATGTATATGATGTATGTATATTCTGTATATATGGAATACATAAATAAATCAATATATATATATATATTTATATTTATTTATTTATGTTTTGATTTTTATTTCCACATATTTCCACCAAAATAATACAATCCTGGTTATCATCTCCCGCTTGTCTGTCAGGAGCAACTTGCTGAGGCCCAGACGCCAGGGCACGTTCCGAGTCTTTGCCGGTTGCTGCGCCGACGAAATCCTGCGGCGCGAGGCGTTGCATTGGGCGGCCGCGAGCAACGCCAAAAACCCCCAAACCCAAAAACCTAAAAACCTGAAAGCCCAAAAACCCAGAAGCCCCAAATCCTAAACCCTAAAACCCCTAAAGATAAACACCCTAAATCCCTTAAGCCACCAACACGCGGTTCGAAGACGCTCTTGCGGCCTGACCTCCAAGTACATCTTGAAGATCTCGGAGAGATCTAGCCGGATGCCGGAGGCCTGGGCTTGCCGGAAATACGCAAAAAAAACCGGCGGAATTGCACAGGGCAAGGCTAAGGCGCAAAAAACCTTGGGGACCAATGAACCCCAAAATTGGATCACAGACCCTCTTCTACTCTAACCCCTAGTAAGGTACACTTTGAGGATTGATTTAGGACCCTATTCAGGTAACCCTAAACCCTAAACCCTAAACTCTAAACCCCACCCCCAAACCCCAAACCCTAAACCCTAAACCCTAAATCCTTCTAGAGCTCCTTTATAACCCCAAGGAAGAGTCTTCCGGCCTCCTGGGTGACGCGCACGTTCGCGTCCGCTGCCACAAAGCCGGCCTAGGCGAAGGGGCAGCTCCCCGCTTCGCTTGTTTGCTTTCTTCCGGGGGGGGGGGGTTTAGGGTTTAGGGTTTAGGGTTTAGGGTTTAGGGTTTAGGGTTTAGGGTTTAGGGTTTAGGGGTTTAGGGTTTAGGGTTTAGGGTTTAGGGTTTAGGGTTTAGGGTTTAGGGTTTAGGGTTTAGGGTTTAGGGTTTAGGGTTTAGGGTTTGGGGTTTGGGGTTTGGGGTTTAGGGTTTAGGGTTAGGGTTTAAGGTTTAGGGTTTGGGGTTTAGGGTTTGGGGTTGAGGGCTTCGGGTTCAGGGGACCTCAACCCCTAAACCCCCAAAAGGTGCTGCGGAGGCATGCTTGGCCAGCCGCCACTGCGGAGTCGAGCTCGGCGTCTGCAGGAAACCAGCGCAAAGGATGGGGAAGGAAGGAGAGGGCCCAAAGGTTTAGGGTTTAGGGGGTTTAGGGTTTAGGGTTTAGGGTTTAAGGTTTAGGGTTTAGGGTTTAGGGTTTAGGGTTTAGGGTTTAGGGTTCGACGTTTTTGCGATGCTCTGAACATCTCCGCACCCACCTAGATTGTCGCCGCCGGTGTAGACAGCCACGGCGGGGCCTGATGTCGCTTTCAGGAGACTTACGTAAATGCCAACCGATGGCCATTTCTGCATCCTGAATAAGAGTAACTGATGCCCTAAACCGTAAGCCGTAAACCCTAAACCCCAAAACATATGACATACCCCGTCAAGGGATTACATAGGCTACCTACCACCCCCTTTGAACCCTAAACCAAAACCCTAAAACCCTCAATTTCAACCCAAGCCCGAATTCCCTGCTGAGAACTCTTAGAAGCCTAAATGGTGGTTTCCGAAGCTCGGGCACCTTATTTGGGGTCCTTGCTATGAAGGAATCCTACTAAAGGGGGGGTCTGATAAAACCTAAACCGCCTAAACCCTAACGTCTTCCCGGGCTTCCGGGCAACCTTTCGCGCCGCAATTGAGGGCCATGTGGATCCGTGGGTCCACGGCTTCCCTCAGAGGCAGCTGTTGCTAGGGTTTAGGCTTTAGGGTTCAGGGTTCAGGGTTCGGGTTTAGGGTTTATAGGGTTTATAGGGTTTAGGGTTTAGGGTTTAGGGTTCAGGGTTCGAATGTCCATGTGCGGCTCGCGTCCCAAGAGCTCGGAAGCGCGGAATGGATTCTCACAGCAGTTGTGAGACACTCTGAACATCGGCAGGAGTTGGCGCAACTCTGGATTCGGGTCCACAACCTTTGGGACCAAATACACCCTCAAATTTGGACCATATACTCTGTACTACTATAACCCCTGTTAAGGCACACGAACCATGAAATTTCCAAAGTTCAGTTGCTTGCGATGGCTTGCAAGGGCGCCCGGAGCTTGGAACGCAAAGACGAGGTGCGCTATGGACATTCCTTGGGGACCAAATGAACCCCAAAACTGGGGGTCATATACCCACAACTCCTACTAAGGTAAGGTTGAGCCATAAACCCTTTCAGGGTTCATTTCGTCCCCAAGGTAAGAGCTCTTCAGAAAACCCTTGAGACAAGGTCCGAGCATACGAAGCCGACGCTGGAGCTCCTGTTCGGGATCCTGTGCAGGGATCCAAAACTCGAAAATCGTTTCGCCGACTCACTCTCAAGTCAGAGGCTGTAGAAAAACCCTAAGCACTAAGCCCTAAACCCTAAAACCCTAAAACCCTAAAACCCTAAAACCCTAAAACCCTAAACCCTAAACCCTAAACCCATAGGAGAATCGCGGCCTTTTTTCTCTGCGGAAGCCGCAGAATCGGAGCCTCTTCGAGCAACCAGCACATCAGGGCCTCTTTGCTCGAGCGCAGAACTGAGAACTGAGGAGGCACAGACACATCTCGAGACTGCCTAAAAGGTGAGTGCCCTATTCTAACATGATGCAAAGTGTAGCCTCATATTATATATAGAGTACCATGATATAGTGACATGATTCAGACTTTAGTAGAGTACAGGAAGGCTTGGATCCCCTTCCGGAGAATATCTTACCAGTGCCCTCCCAGAGATCTGACTCGAGATCGACCCATATGCTGAGGGATTGTTGTTGGGAGCTCCCTAATTCCTCGGGGACCAAGTATGAACCCCAAACAAGGTTTTGGGCTCATGTACCCTTAATGGGGGCTATAGTAGTCCAGAGTCTACAGGGTATATGGCCATTCTGGGGCTCGTTTTGGTCCACAAGGAATTGACTCTTTCCTTCCACTTCTCTTAACACGGCACCGCTCTTCGGCTGTGATAAGTGAAGGTGTATGCTCTCCGGCCCTTTGGGGGGGCAGGGTGCCTCAGGCTACAGGGGCTTGGGGTTCAGGGTGTGAGGTTTAGGGTATGTTCAGTTTCCGAGAATAAGGGGTGGGTCCTTACAGCCTTATGATAAGGGAATCCTACTTTTTGGGGGTCCATCTAGGGGTCCCTTATTTTCGTAAACTCCCCATGTTCACTCTCTGCGAGTCACGGAAAGGAATCGCACAAGCGAGGCGGAGAAGAATCTGCGATCCCTCTCGCAATCTGCTATCCCTTGGGGACCGAATGAACCCTGTAATTGGGGTGACTACAGTAATTCCTATTCAGGCATATGAACCACAAACCCTTTTAGGGTTCATTTAGTCCTCGAGGTCATGCTGGAACTTTCAGTGCCTGGGGATCAAACCTTGGTGACCGGATGAACCCGAAAATTGGGGTCATAGGGTAGTTGCACGGTCCCTTGGTATGGGCCCTTAAAGCAATGATATGAACATTGCTTCATATGGGCCATAAACCCTCTTAGGGGACAAGGTGAATCCTAAAAGGGTTTCTGGTTCGTGGGAGTTATAGCAGTCATATACCTTCAGAGGAATTATAGTAGTTAGGGTATATGACCCCCAATTTTAGGGTTCATAATTGGTCCCCAAAAACCCTAAACCCTAAACCCTAAACCCTAAACCCTAAACCCTAAACCCTAAACTCTAAACCCTAAACCCTAAACCCTAAACCCTAAACCCTAAACCCTAAACCCTAAACCCAAGCCGGGGGGGCGGGGGTGCCCAAGGTAGGGCTCATTGGGTCCCCAAGAGAAGTCTACCTGATCTCCTCGTCCAAGGAGTCGGAGTCCAGACAGTCCTTGGGCCAGCCCTAAACCCTAGCCCTAAACCCTAAACCCTAAACCCTAAACCCTAAACCCTAAACCCTAAACCCTAAACCCTCAACCCTAAACCCTAAACCCTAAACCTACTTGAATCTCCCGAGGACCGCGCGCTGCGGCATGAAGACTAAAGAGACTTGTGCCACGGGGTTTCCTGAAAATACCGGGGCATCCCTCTCTGTCGGGGAGAGGGGGGAGGGTTCCCGTTGGGGAGCTCCCCTTAAGTTTGGACAAAGAGTCCACGCATAGAGAGAGAGAGAGAGAGAGAGAGAGAGAGACAGAGAAAAAAAGAAAGAGGTGCCTAAACCCAAACCCCAAACCCCAAACCCCAATCCCCAACCCTAAGCCCTAAGCCCTAAACCCTAAACCCGAAACCCTAAACCCTAAACCCTAAACCCAACTGGGTCCCCGAGCCCCGTGGCGTCGCGCCGCCACCAGGGCCCGCATCAACTTCTTCGCCAGCTCCGGGTGGTCGTCCACCATCCTTTGGAGGACGCGAGGAACCATAGAATTGGGGCTTTTGGGGCTAGAGGGTTCAGGGATCAGATACCCTAGACTACTAGAACTCCTACTAAAGTAACAGTGGGTCATGAGCCCGTTTGGGATTCATTTTGCGTCCCCAAGGTTCTGGATCAGCTGCTCCTCCTGCAAGACCAGGACCTCCCATGCCAAGTCGTTTGGTAATTAGGGGACGTCCCCCACGGTCTAGAGGCCCTTGGAACAAAGGCACAGTGACACAACGCACACGAACTGACAGGGCGCGATGCTGGATCCTGTGGACTTTCGTTGTTGACGTGTTAGAACAGCATAGTGAGTTAGCGAGCTCCGCTTGAGAGGGTTTTTCTTGCATATGCATACGATAGTAGGAATTCTAGTAGTCAGGGTATCTGACCCCAAGATTTGGGTTCATGTCGTCCCCAAGGTGAGGAAGGGGCGAACATGCTCTCATGAGCCTACTTGCCTCGCAGCCATTGTTCATGATCATCTGGACACAGAGCTGCCTTAGCTGAGGGGAACACCCGGCTTTTGGCTCCCAACATGTGGGGGGGGGGGGGGGGGGGGATTCGCTAAGATATGGCGTATGATCGTGGGATCCCAATGAAACTACTATTTGCTTAAGAGCCCCAAAAGAATATAAAATAACCCCTATATTACCCTTAATAAGAAATATAAACAATTAGAAAATGGCCAAGGAATACTTCGAGAACCTCCCGATGCCACTGAGCAGCTCGAGGCGGCATCCTGTGCCGAAGACCTCTGAGGACACATCCACCCGAGGGATGGTTGCAGAGACATTTCAAGAGCTGTCTTCTTCGTGGTGAATGCATACATGGCGGCCTATATATATATATGTATATGTATGTATGTGTATATATATATATATAGGTGAGAGTGTATATCTTGGGTGTCCTTCTCCGAATACTCTAGTAGACAAACCCCTACTCCATATCATGGCAAGACGTCACCCTAAACCGTAAACCCTAAACGCTAAACCCTAAACCCCAAACCCCGAGCCCTAAACCCTAAACCCTAAACCCCAAACCCTAAACCCTAAACCCTGAACTCTGAGCCCTAACCCAGGCCTGGCTGAGGAACATCAAGACGTTGTTCTCGGAGAGCAGGTTCCCCAGCTCCGCTTCCGCCTTCTCCACGAGGCCCGTGAGGCGATACTGGTCCGCCAGCCTGCTTACATGTGCCATATGTTTTTATAGAGAATAATGCGTATGTATATATATATATATATATAGAAAGATAGATATATGTATATATATATATATACATATTGATAGATACTGAAAACCCACACAGATAGATACCGAAAAACCGCAATCATACCTGTAATAGATATGTATATACATATATATATATATATATTGGAAAAACTACACAAAAACTATACACCCTACAATCCTACAACCCCTTGATATGGAGTTGAATATGCGGATTCTAAGGTCTAATAGCCCATCCTGGAACCACCTCTAACCCTAACTCCAAGTACTCCCAACCTTCGAATGGCGAGGGCGAACATGAAGTCGCCGTTGGAGCCTTAGTTGTCCAGTACCTAGGGGAACTAAAGGTCAACCCTCGGGATGAAAAGGGGATTCTGTTCCGCCAACAAGGTTAAAGGTTACCTACTCTACTACTAAGGACCTTTGGGATTCCAAGGGGATTATATTACCCCAAAATAGGCTAAAGGTTACCCACTCTACTGCTAAGGAGCGGAATTTAAATATAAGGGTGATTATAATGCCCCGAAGTAGGTTAAAGGTTGCCCACTCTACTACTCCCACTCTACTACTAAGGACCTTTGGGATTCTAAGGAGGATTCTATTACCACAAAAAGGTTTCAGGTTTCCCACTCGACTACTAAGTTACCCCGGAATAGGTTTAAGGTTTCCTACTCGACTACAAAGGAGCACCCTTCACCCTCAACCCTCAACCCTAAACCCTGAACCCTAAACCCTAAAGCCTAAACCCTTTTTGTTTTTGGGGTGTTTAGGGCTAAGGAGCAGAAGGTGCCCGAAGTCATGTAGCGGAAGATGGTGCTGACGGCCTTGTGGTTGGCCTCAGAATCGTCAAGGACCCGGTCCAGGTGTAGGGTTTAGGGTTTAGGGTTTAGGGTTTAGGGTTTAGGGTTTAGGATTTAGGGTTTGGGGTTTAAGAACCTTGGGGGAAAGAACCGGAATCTTCTGCCTTCACGGCTCTCGCCGCCCGATCGAGCCTCTTAAGCGAACACAAACACCAGCAAGAGCACCGAGAAGCAAGCCACCAAGAAGAAGAGCATTAATAATGACACAGTGTCTTGGTGTTTTTGCTCTTTTTTCTTTGGGTACATTCATAATGGGAGTTATATTTTTTCAACAACCACTAAAACCATGTGTTCATATGAGGTAGGGTACATATTTCTTGTACCCCCAAAAAGGACACCCAATATATACACTCACCGATATTAAAGAGGCACCTTATACACTCAATAACAGAAATATAAGCCTGCTTCATAAACTCACAAGCATCGCCCCTGTGCACGAATTCGTAGAGGAAATAAAGAGAGAGAAGACAGGGGAGAGAGGTTGGGATGTTCCCCCTTATACTAACCGTCCTTAATAGGTATTCTAGCACCCTCCGAAGGACGGTTAGACTGTTTGTACAAGGGGGAGCATCCCAAACTGCACCCTAAACCCTAAACCCTAAACCCTAAACCCTAAACCCTAAACCCTAAACCCTAAACCCTAAACCCTAAACCCTAAACCCTAAACCCTAAACCCTACATGGCATCCCAAGCGAGAGGGTGTCAGGGTGACATCTCGCGGCAAAGATGCCATCGGATCGCTGCTGAGGTCGATCTCGTTGTTGCACCCCTCCCGGAATCGGGGCTCCTCCAGCATGTCCCGGAAGTACTCCTCAAGGGGGTTTATTGTTTAGGGTTTAGGGTTTAGGGTTTGGGG